CTACCTCAGGACCTCAGCGTAGATTTGTCAACTCTGCTTGGAAGAATGTCTGTAGTAGAGCTTCTCACGTGTATGGTCCTGGTTTGGTTACAGATCTGAGCTCCCATACTGAGAAAGAAGAACTGCTTATCATTGTTTCCATGCGTGCATGGCAGTTTACCATCTGAAAACCTTCCATTGCTTACTGAGTTTCTCAAGTGGGTGTACAAGGAGGCTTATTATGTTTCCACTGACATAGGAGGGAGGCATCTGCAAGCCTGTGTTTGTGAGAAGCCTCTGAGAAACCATGCTTGTGTGAGAAGTGATGACCACTTCTCAGTATGCAGTGAGACTGCGAGAGGAAATGCTGTGCTCCCTGCTTTGTAGAACATTCTCTGAAACATACTGCATGGCGTTTTGTCTTTACGGACATCCTAAAGTTACAATGAAATTTACAAAATGTGTTGTTCAGGGAAGTATTAATTTTTTATCTTGGTTTAAATAGACATTCATAAGAGCAGGAAGTGTGGCTCATATAGTTCTAAAGAAGGCGGAGGCTTTCAGTTTGTGATACAGGTACAGCTGAAATCCGAAGCTGGTTTGCAGGGTGTGACAGCTTTCGGCTGTTTACTCTTGTCTGCAAAGTACTCCTACAGCTTAGAGTTGTTTTTCAGCATAGGAGACCAGTTAGATCTGAAGTGTGTAATCCAGTCATACTTCTGAGTAATGCTCTCACAGCCAATTGGATTTTTGCAGACTGAGTTGTTTTAAAGCAGGGAGACAGACTGTGTGCGGTGATGAAAGCTCCGCTATAATACTGCATTCGTTTGGATGAACTAGAGTGGCCATTTTTTAGACCTCACAGCGTTCTACAGTAACTGTATTGCAAAGGAGGTCTTAGAGATGTGTACAGTTATTCCATAAGATCTTATTTTAATAGGTTATTTATGTTAGTGTTTTCTGCACTGGCACCTTGCGAAAACCTGTAACTTAAGATAGATGTTCTGTAGCCTTTTATTTATTTATTTCTACTGTATTTTTCTGAACAGCTCATTCATATGAAATGGTTTTGATGTTTACCACTCTCAGGAGAGATGGATGTTATCCTCTTAAAAGGATAGGAATGATCATTGTAAAACTAAAAACTTTCAGAATTGGAGGCTTCGGCTGTTTGGGTTGTGACAGTAGCATGCGTGTTTAAAAAACCTAAACAAATGAAATTAACCAACCACCCAAAAAAGAAAAAGAATTCTGCCCCCTCGAATAGCCAGAAAAACAACCCCATCATAAAGAAACTCTGGCAAACATCTTTGAAGTCCAACTCTTTAAAATGTTAGATGTTTAAAATGTAAGATTAGAAGCTGTGTGCAAACATTTCAGATGAGGACTTAGAAAGTCATTTGCTGTCAGCTGTGATGTTTGGAAGTGTTATGAATCAAGACCTAGCAGGCCATTCTGGATGTGAGAACTTGTATAAACTTGACTTTCAGGCATGATTTATTTCTGTCCTGCTACCTAGGCTAGTATGGACTAACATTTGAAGAGGGCTTGCTGAAAAACGACTGGTGTTGTTGTTTGAATTTCCTATAATAGGACTATACAGAGAAAAAGAAAGATGAACTGTAGATTTACTATGGGATACTTTGATTCGTGCTGCTATTTGCAGTAATAGTGAACTGCATAATGTTGTATAGTAAGATTTGTAAAGATAGCAAGTCTTGTAAATTGGGGATTTTGGCTTATGTAACTTACATTAAAAAGAAGGAGGTGATGTGCTTTTTTTAGTGCCATAAAAGTCAAATTAGTGCGTTTCTGTATTTCGAGGTAATTTTTTCCAGGAAGTCTAAAAAGTCTTTCAAATGAAGGAAATGTGGTTTAAAAAAAAAAAAAAAAGAGAAGTACATTATTCGGTATAAGTGACTGTTTTTTTCCTTTTGTCTTGCAGCAACGCACCTCTTGCTTTTTCCTCCAAAGTATGTTATATTAAGTTTCGTGAAGCATCAAGTGTTGGTGTGGCCCAGCATCTAACCAACACGGTTTTTATTGACAGAGCTTTGATAGTTGTGCCCTGTGCAGAAGGTTAGTATTTCAGTCATTCTTCTGTAATGTTGGTCTTTGTCCTGTCTGCTCATTGTTTTAAGCTTTCAATGTGAGGAGGTGGTTCTCTGTTGTTACTTTTTTAAAAATTTATTTTAATGTTGTTTGGGAGGAAAAAAAAAAAAAAAAAATACAAAATTGATACAAAAATGAAAATAGAGTGAAGAAACATAGTTACAGAGATTTAATTTAAATTCAGCATTAGAAAAAAAAAGATCTGATTTAAATTAGAATAATTCAATTTTCCATTGTTGTTACATATCTGGGAGGACACAAAGGTAATTTTGTCCCCTTAAAGGTGATTTTTATCTTGGCAAGCTTATTCCCACACAGAGTTCTCACTGAAGTCAATGGAGCACTGAATATGTTAAGTAATTTCCTTGCAAAGATAACATGGAAGTTTTGATCTTAATGTGTTATTTTTGGTCTGTGGGTTGTTCTTGTTGTTGTTGTTATTTTTTCAGTTTTTTGTTTTGATTATATTGATTATTATTATTTTTTTACCAAATCCAAATTTGTCTTGTTGACATGCACTGTATGTGTTTGGCCATTTTAGATTTATATAACTTAAAATAGTTTGTGTTCATGGTGATAATTACTGTTTGATGTTTACCTCCTAGTGTAATGAAAAGTTTCCAGTTTTCCCTTCTTGTTACTGTTGAAATTTATACTTTGTTTGCAATAATAAGACTTTCCTGTACACTGTACTCCTTACGATTCTAGGCACCTTTTTGAAAAATGCAGTTATCTGCATAGAATGCTTCCAGAGTAAAGTATTTTTATAACTCTTAGTAAAGATATTTGGTAAATAGTAATTTTAGAAGTGTTCCCTTAAGTAATGCTGAGGCCATATTTTTGCAGATGTGTAGAATGTGAGGGAATTCTTACTGTTAGTATGCCAAGTCTGAATACAGTCCTATGAAGCACAGCCCTACTGTTGCTGAATTCTGTGTAGACAAATAACTGGAGTTTGGCAGAGCCCCATTGACTTCACTGTGATCCTTGTGGAAGCGAGCATAGGCCCACTTGGGTCTAGAAGACTTTTTACCTCACTGGAGTAGAAACATTCCAGACGATGAAGTGAAGCTTCCTTCACTTTAAGTATAGTAGCTATTTTGCCACGAAAAAAACAACCTTTAGTGATTGAACCATAAACTGCTGCAAATTTGGAAGTACTTGCCATTAGCATGAGTCAGGTTTTTTTTTTTAAAAAAAAGCTGTTGACTTCTTGGAGTTTGTTAATAGTGGTCTCAGAGTACCGTTTTTCCCCAGTCTTAATACATGGTGATCTGAATAGCATAAGATTAGTGCTGCAGTGATCACGGTCTGAGACGTTCCTAGCAAACTCTGGCAAGTCTACAAAATGCCTTGAACTCTAAAGCTACTCTGAGATTGCAGTGATCTGTAAGACACTGCATATTCTCATTTAGTACGAGCACGTATTTTTTGACTTTCTGAAGCCTAGATTTTTAGTTTTTTCTTATGCCTTGCTTTGTGGCATTTTTTGGTGTTATTCTTTGAACTTATTCTTAAACTGCGAAGAGGATATTGCCCTATCCACTTAAAATTTTCCGTAGGCAAAATGCATGAAACAAGAGCCCCGGTTGTTAAAAAATTGCCCCTGCATAGTTGCCTGTAGCTTATTCAGGACTGTAGTTTTATGTTTCATCCAAAAGACCTTAACACTGGTTCAGTACTGCCAGAGAGGGAAGATTGTCGCCAAATGAATGAACAGCACTTCCTGGTGTTTTTCTTGTGATGAGATCACTGCCTGACGTGGTATGGCAACAGGCAGGTAAAGCTACATTTTCCTGTGTCTCTTGATGGTAGACAGTGAGTGGAAGGAGAATGAAATGAAAGTTCTGAAAAATCTTGTTCCGGCCCCATTTGCAGCTGACTTAGCAGGCGTTTCTGAGAAAGTGTATCACACATAAATTATCATTGTTCCAAATCATTCCAAATCTTGCAGGGGTTTGTGCATAATTTAGTGAACTAGTGATTGGGTTGTGAGGAAAATTTTTTTAATGGTAGTAATGCTGTTTCCATGTAACTTTCTCTAGGGTCATTGATTTTAATTTATGAAAATGTGAATTCATACAGATTTAACTTCCTGAGGAGTTTATTGTGTGGGGTAGATATGGTTCTGGAGAATACAGGACAACATTTTTGATTCATGATGTGTGATAGGATGCATTGGTAATGGAGTCAGTGGAGTGTATCACAAGTTTTAAAAGTAGTAATGGCTATATTTTACCATTATATTGTTAAATTATATTGTTAGCTAATGGTGCCAAGAGTGAAATGTTTAATGCGCCGAATTGAATGTAGGCGAGATGTAGAATGAAACTCTGAAAATTTGGTTTTAAGAACCAGAATAAAATCTGATTTGGAGTGTATTTTAACAATGTTAAATCAAGGGGGCATGAGGATAGGGATGCAATGAAATCAATGTTAATTTTGTGACATTTAATAAACAGTGTTACAAAAAAAAAATGAAGTAACTTTATCAAGCTGTCCAAATGTGACTTTCTTTCGTGTGTATGAGTAGCTTTTTCTTAAATGTTACACTTTGAGAATGCAAAGGTTGAAAGATAACAAAGATGCCACCCTAATCATTCTAAATTTTATGTCCACATTATCTGGTAGATGGATTTTGACTATTAATTTGGTTTTGTATGTTTTCTCTGTGTGATATTTGTGCATTATTAGATGACTAGACTGGCCAAGGCAGACCTGTTACACTTGCCTGAGTTAGGCATTGTTTGCCATGCCACTAAACCTGCCGTCAAGTGAAACCTTCATGGGGGAAATGAGATCGAAGTCTGGCCTGCTGAAGATGGACGCCCTGTCTCTGTTTTTATTTTATTTTGCTTTCTTTCCTTTGTTTTTTTTGGTTTTTTTTATTATTATTATTATTTTGTTTTATTTTATTTTTATTTTATTTTGTCCCTTTTTGTTTTGTTACATCTCTTTCCCTTGTACTTGTGAACTGGTACCTCAGTTCTGTAAAAATGGTGTTTTGTAAAGGGTTCACGGTGTTTCATTTTGAAGTTTGACCTGAAGCTGCTTATGAATGGTGGATGGTATCCGGCAAAGTATGACTAGTTGAGTTTTATGCTGCAAATTTTGGATAAATTCCATTTGGAGTACATGTAAGCATCTGAATTCAGCAGATGAGCACTCTGGGACAGAAGACTGGAATAGTGAAAAATAAGAGTTTTAAGAAGCATTCTTTCATATGTTATGCTTTATGATTTCCTCTTGGAACAGACAGTTAAAAATCTTGCTTTCTGGAGACACTAACTTTACAGAATACAGTGATAATCTTTCTCTGCTGTTTGTCCCTCTTCTTAGCAGAGTAGTTTTATTTAGATTGCATGGTCTGTTTAAAAGAAGGCTTTCCATTTATGTCTAACATAAAGACTTTATAATAATTATTTCTGAAATTGAAATTTCATGGATGTCGAATGTCTTGAAATACTTGCTTCTGATGAAATCTTGCTCCAGTGAAGTCAGTGGCAGTAAAATGTCATCCTCAGAAAAACTGTTTACCACTCATAAGTACAAAAGCAGCCTGAGTTTTTGATTAGAATGTGTTATGTGAGGCACATTGTCTTTTAAAACTGTTGTTTGTGGGAGGACTGAATCAGTTCTGTATGCGTGTGTTTGTATGTGTGTATTGCACTTACATATGCTTCACTGGTTGTTATCTGAAGAAGACATTTTATTTTTTTAAAAGTCTTCTCAGTCATTGCACAAGTCCTGGCAGTTGGTGCTGGAGTGATTGAGAAGGTTGTCATCTCTAGGTGATGTTCTTTCTTCTTCCATTGAAATGGAACCGCTGAAGCAGAAACGGTGGGCCAGGAGGTGTGTCTCATCCTCAGGCATTGCTCTTCTCAGCTAAGTGCGTTAATACCAATTGGTTTCACTTGGGTAATGCACCAAGCTGTGAACTGGGAAGAGCTTTGCTTCATGATCTCTCTTGGATTTATTTGTGGCAGTTGAGGTAATTGCCAGTAATTTTAATCTCTTTAATTGCTGCTGCTAAATCCAGTAAGAGTCATGAACTGGATCACACGGAAGTTACTTTGAAGTGCATTGGCCACTGACTTAACATGGTAGGAAAATAACGACCTGTTTTAAATTATGTTTGAAGTAGATGTGAGCAGAAGATGTCTTTAAAACAAACCTACTGCTGAGGCTGTTCTACAGTGAGGATTAAGCACATAGTTTAAGTATGGAGAACAGGAAATTATTTTCTGCTGCACACTTGGAAGGAAAAAAAAAAACAAGTTACATTTGCTACCTCCTTAACACAAACATTTCTCTGGAGCACTTAGCAAAATGGTTGCTGGTATGAACCAGGTTGGCTAAGTGATACAAGATAGTAACAATTATAACATGTATGTAGAACAAGACCGCTGTGCTAAAAGGAAGCCTGAGATACCTGTGAGCAGCGTGGAGCCAATCTACATTTACTTCCAGATCACATTGCAGAGCAGAGAGGAATGAAGTAAATGATCACAGAATCTATTATTTACTGAACAGTCAAAAGCATCCAAGAAATATTTCTGCAGATATGATATATGTGTGACATATTTATCTGTTTCCGTTATTAGAAAGTGAATATTTTTAGCTCATTTCCATTTAGCTTGAGTTTCAAAGCATGAGTTTTAAAACCAAATCGGTTATCTCAAACAGTTTTGGAAGTTTCCTAACTTGATTTTTCACAAGCCACATGTTGTGTATCTTTGCAGGCTCGTGTTCTCTTACTAATAAATTTATAGAGATTAAGCTCCAAAACATAAAGGCTGTTTTTAAGTTACATAAGCCTCACATATTGATTTGTTCAGGAAGGTAGATGTGCCCCCAGTTTATTTTCTATGAAGTTGATTTAAAGATTGAGCTGCTCTTAAAAGCTGGTGGAAGAATCTGTGAAAAGGCAGTAGTTCTGGGGGGAGAGAAAAAAAAAAAAAGGCATGGAAGATCTTTTTATAGTGTGGAACTGACCAAATGGAGTTCCTATTAAAACAAAACACTACGTTGTTAGGCACCCTAGTTATTCTGGAGATAACGCTGCTAGTTTGTTAATATTTAGACATGTGTGCTCTTCTTTCTTTGAACTTCTTTTATAGGTGGCTTAACTGAAAGTGCTCACCTGATTCTTTAAGCAGTGTTTGAGCAAATGAGTAATTCGTATTATTTCAGTAAGATGGCCCGTGTGCTTAAAATTTAGGCTCATATTTAATTCTCTGAATTTAACTCACTGTCTGTTAATTATGTGCCTAACTCCATTCCTGTTTCAAAGGGCAAAATGCCTTAAGCATCTGAAAAATCTATCTGGTTATCTGTGTATTATATTGGCTGTATGTAAGTGCATACTTAAATTAGGCATATGCTTATGTACGTTGCTGGCCAAGGATCAAAAGAGCGCAGACACCATTATAAAAGGCTTTTTTGTCACTGAATTTACTTGATCCACATGTGTAGATTCTGTGGAAACCTGCATGAGGATTAATTGCAAGAAGCTGGCTATTCATGAAGACATCTGGTAGTTAATGGCCTAGTTCATCAATCATCTGAAAGCACTTCAATACTTTGATTTTCAGAAGAACTGGTATATAACTGTATGCCTAATTTGCATGCACAGTTAGTAGAACTGTATATTTGAAAGCCTGTTTAGTTAGCTATGTAGTAGGCAGGATATGCAGTGAAGTACCCGATTCTTGTGAGCAGCCAGGCAGATCAGGTGCACCTCTCCTTGCATGCCTGACTTCATGATGAGTTTGTGCTGAACATTGTGATGACTCAGATTCATGCATGTTTTTTAAAAAGCCCTGGAAGACTTATTGCACAGTTAATTCTTGAGTGCTAATTATTTTCCTATTTTTCTCCTTTAGATAGAAAAATCAAGTGGTTTGTTACATGTTAAGGAGCAAGGTGCCTCAAAACTAAACATAAATAAAATAATGTAAATAGGAGGCTTGAGAGAAAAATGGGTACTGTTGTTTTATCTTTTCTATTCATGTATGCTACATATAAATTAATTTTCATTCAGATATGTTTTGTTTTTTGGTCACATCCAGTTGTAACCCAGTCCCTGCTGCAGATCTGTAGTACTGGTTTGCAATACTTTTTTTTTTGTCTTTTTTTTTTTTAGAAGTAGTATAATTCCTGTAGGTTTTATTGAAACTCATAAACAGTTAAAACTACAGTGTTTTGAAACTTACCTATTATTTTGTATTTTTATTGAAGTTAGAGGTAAACAGATAAAACATAGATAGTTTTATTCAAAGGAAAGTGCTGTGGATACTTCGACTATTAAAAAAATGTTTAAATAAAAACTTTATTAAAATGCCTGTGGTAATAACAAAGGGCTCAGTAGTTAGCATATAGAGAATTATGCCAGGAGTTTTGGAAACAGGATTGATACCAGGTATAAGTAGAAGTTGCTGCTGTAGGTTTTTTCTTTTGCGTGCTTAGTGTTTGTTCTAGTTTAGACCCCTTGGCATTTCAAATCTAATAGACACATTTAATTGTCTTATCTATTACATTACAATTAATCTAGCTAGCTAGCTATATATACAAATTCTAATTTTTGAAGATTTTATGGAGTTAATTTAGCAGTCTTACTGTAAGTAAATTTGAACGAAACCTGAGTTTTAAGACAGATTACTTACTATTTAAACTGTTAGCATAATAGGGAGAATGTAATGTGGTTGAAATGGTACAAAATACATAGTTTAGGAAAATATGGATTGCTCAGTTGATCAGTTAGGGTTTTCTTCAACGTCATTAAACTTACAGCTAATTCATGAAATTTTCAGATAAACTGAGATGACTTAGAATGTAAGACAGTACAAATCTAGATTTTTCTTCCTTCCCATACCCCCAAGTTCACTTGCAATGTGTATTGAATCACAGGAGCTTTTATTTAATTTTTATTTATTTTTACATCAAAAGTAGGTAGCATCAAAGTAGAGAAAAAAGCACAAATTTCAGTTAGCTCATACATGTTTTTTCTTTTTTTTTCTTTTACTGATTTGGTTATTTGCCATTTCTGGGGATTAAACTTTAAAAAATGTTCTTCTTTTCTGTATCTGATGTTCTGTGTGCTATTAGTGATGCAGCCAACACGAACGGTTGTCATGTGTAAAACAACTTTCGATCACCGTGAAAGCACCGCCCTGGGAAAGCGTCCATGCTTGATATCGTTTGGTTCATGAACATTAAGTTTCCAGTACAGGTGACCCATAGCTCAAAGTGTTAAATAATTGTGTACATATTCAGTTTTTAAAATAATGATCCATTAATGAGTTTACTATTCTTTGAAGTTTTTCTCACTTTTGTTTTTCCTAGTAGAGCAGGGTAAAAGGAAAATCTTAAGTTCTTATTTGTTTCTTTGTAAGGATCTGGTAGATAGATTCATTCTTATTTATTACCTTTTTAAATGCAAGGGTAATTATAAAATAATAGTAAGAGTAACATTTGTGTAGTGTTCCAGCTCTGTATAATGCTTTCATTTGCTTCTTCAGGTAAAATCCCAGATGAAGCCAAAGCCCTTTCTCTATTGGCGCCTGCTCCTACTATGACAAGCCTGATGCCTGGTGCAGGGTTGCTTCCAATACCTACACCAACGCCTTTAACAACAGTAAGTAAAATTCAGATGCTGTTTGATTTCTGGTTTCATCTGTGTTGAACAGCATTTTTTTTATATTATGAGAATAAAAGCTATGTATGCTATGTTGATGTTGTCCTCTTGTGTATCAAGTCATTGAGGGCTTAGCTGTGGTGCCCCTTTTGAAGGTAGATCACGAGATGTTTGTGCCTAACTTTTCCTGAGTGTTCCTTTTGTATTTTTAAATTGCAGAATAGTGGGTGAATACTAATTTTGATTGTGTCTGTATTTTCTGTTCCTAGACCCATTAATTTGATCCACTGGCAATACTATCCACTTCCTGAAAGTTAGTTAAAGCATAATAGCTTAATTGGCGTAGGTCGAAATGTTATGTTGGGATGCTGTTATTTAATATTCCTCTGTCATGGCTTTTGTCTCTTTACCTAGCAATTTTTTCACTACAGAAAGCTCAGGAGCTACCTGCTGCTGCTGCTACTTCTCAGTTCCCATCTGCTTCTGTAAGCTTATCTTGGCATCATCAGGCAGTTGTGCCTGGTTCAGGAAAAAGTCTGGAAATAGCAAAGCCTGCTTCAGAAAAACTGGGCTTGGTGTCATTGCTTCATATTATTTGGAGATGAAAGTCTTCAGTTTTCCAAACATGTTGCAGCTGTGTGCTACTGATAATACTGTTATCATCCATTTTTGGTTTTTTGTTTTGTTTTAATTTGAATGCAATTTCTAAACTTTCCTCTAATGATTCCCTGTTTGTCTCAATTACCGGAACTGTTATTCCCACTTGCTTTTCTTAGCTGATACTGGTAAGCATCCTAGAAGAAATGAATATTGTTTAGTTTACTTCTTCTTTCTTCCCTTCTGTTAAAACACTGCATAAACTGTTTTTAATATTTAATAAATCTGCACTGAGGGCAGTATCTTTTTTTAAAGCTTGTGCTCCAGCAGCTATTTAAGACTATGCAACTTCTACCCTGAAACCACAGGACCAGAGTCAACAGTCAGATTTAATTTGTAGTTCTTAACTGACACTATATAAAAGAAATCACATGGCATTGAAAATCATCTTTAATTCACAAGGATGCTGGCTTTTTTTTTCCTGTAAAGTTATATGATATTACCCTCACTGTTTGATGAAGTAATTATTTAGGTATTTAATAAACTAAAATACGCTTATTTATGCATAATTACTGCTATTCAATCATAATTACTATTGGAATTTGGGATACTATTTGGGATACTAAACTAATCCTCTAAATTGACTCTTTTTTTATATACATCTTTAATAAATTATTGGTGAATAGTAGACTATCAAAGAGGAAGGCAAGTTGTCTGACAATTTCTGTTCAGTAATAAAAGAATGATTTCAGCAAGCAGAGTAGTTTTGTCTTTTGTTACATAATAAAAAAACAAACTAGTGTCTTGCTGAGAATTTCTAACACAAATTTCACCAGTTAGAAAAGTAGCTTCTTTTTCTGTAAGAAATAAAATTTAAACCAAGAACTTAGCAGACCGGTTTAAAAGTGTTTTCTTAGTAATTTTTTATAACTTCAGTAGCCAGTAAAAACAAGAGCCATATTGTCTTCATTCGCTAGGAAGTAACTCTCCAGCAAAGGGAAATTTGTAATTTTTCCAGGCAGGGGTAGCTCATCTGACAAGTTAAAGCCTCTGAACTAGTAATCTGATATTACTTTTCTTGCTTTTGACTGTACATTCCACTTCATCTGTGTGATTCTTTGTCTTTCTGGGTTCTCTAGAACCTAGAAAGTATTCTACCCTTCATGAAGCATGACAAATTCACTAAAGGAATGAGGGTGAGTTTCTTTGACCTACATCATCCTGACACACTGTACTGAGCTTAGCGGAGGATGTGAAACACTGGTGCTTTGGATTGGGATTCCAGGGAAAAGATTCAGGTCTTGTTCCCTTGCTTTTTTCTCCAGCCAGCTGTTTGAGAGGCTCAGTTATTCAGTTAACTACAGGTAAGAGTTGCCTATTATCTTGCCTGAAGCTTGTCTAAATCTGTGCTGCAGCCAAAAGAGGTGCTACTGGCATTGCATTTCCACTCTTCTGCATTATGCTAGTGTTCATATGGTCTATTACCTGAAGAAGTCTCATCTGACATGGCTTTTTTTCAAGTTGGTGAGGGGTATAGAATACAGTTGTTTTTTCATAACAGTTCCCTTTGTCTATCTGGTTTACAAATTGTAACAAGTCTGTTGTAAAAAGAAGAAATCAGGATTGCCCCTTTCCTTGTCTAAAGGGAACTGGTTAAGTTTAAACAGATGATGAAGCTGTCATTTTGGAAGACTGGAAGGATAACAACAGGTAGCAGTATCAGTTATCTTAAACCTTTGAAATACTTCTTTCATGTTTGTTCTGCTTATGCATTACTGTGTTTCTGCATTACCTACAGTGTGTTTATACATTACCTATGAGCAAAGTTTAGGGTGCAAGGTGTAGTGTTTTATGTAAAAACTGCCAGGGAAATAAGCTTTTGTTGTAATTGTAGGAGAGAAACTTACAAAATGCTGCTCTGGATTACAGTTATTTCGTGTGCTGAGACCATGTTTCTCTAGAAAGTTCTTGTTTACCATTGGTAATCCTTCTGGTTTTAAGGTGGTTCTGCTTGGCAGTATGAGACTTTTAAGGCAAGGAGATAGTTTACTTAGCTAAAGCTACAGATCATCCACTATACTTGGATCATCTGTAAATTTCTCGAGGGAACTCAGGATTACAGATGTAATATTTCAGAATTAATCATGTGAACAAGCTGGACACTGTTTTTCCATTTTCTCTAGCTCCTTTACTGGCCACCGAGAAGAATCTGTCTCCACTCTTCTTACAGTCTTCATTTACACTCTCCCACTAGAAACCTGTGTGTTTTCTTAGGACGTTCCTCAGCTTTCTCCTCTACAGAATAAAGAAACCCAGCTCTCCCAGGCTCTCCTTGTAGGACTGGTGCTCCAAGACACTTCATCAGCTTTGTGGCTCTTCAATGGATGTACTGCAGTTAGGTCTGTTTCTCTCTTGTACTTGGAAGGCCCAGAACTGGTCACCGTATTCCAGATCTGGCACCACCAGCGCTGAGGAAAGAGTAACCTTCCTTTTGTTTGCTCACAAAACTCTTCTCTAGAAAGAGCAGCTCAGCATACCACCGTCCTTCTTGACTGCAAGGGTGCATTGCTGGCTCATGTTAACCTAGGGGTTCATCAGAACCACCAGTTCTTTTTCTGCCAGCTGGCCTTCCAGTCAATCAGCACTCTCACTGCACTGGTCTGTGGAGCTGTTCCTGCCCGTGTGCAGAGCCCTTTGGTGTACTGCCACCTCTTCCTGGTTATGTGTTGTCTGCAGACTTGCTGAGAGTGTGTTCAGTCCCACTGGCTAGGCCACCGATGAAGTTCAACAAATTGTTCAGGATGGTCAGCTGGAACATAGGACACCACTGATTGGTTTTTACAGCTAGACTAGCTGCTTTGAAGAGATTGGTTTTTTTAAAGTGAAGGTATTACTAATCAGTATTCCATTTTTATTTACATTTTGTGTTTTAGACAGTAGCAAGCTGTGGTAAATGGCGCTTACTGAGTCTTGAAATTGTTTTTATATGCTAGTACATCATCTGTCAACGCTCCTTGTTGACTGGTGAGGTCCCAGATGACTGGAGGCTTGCCAATGTGACTCCCATTTATAAGAAAGGTCGTAAGGAGGATCCGGGGAACTACAGGCCTGTTAGCCTGACCTCGGTGCCAGGGAAGGTTATGGAGCAGATCGTCTTGAGGGAGATCATGCGGCATGTGCGGGGTGACCGGGGGATCAGGCCTAGCCAGCATGGGTTCATGAAGGGCAGGTCCTGCTTGACCAACCTGATCTCCTTCTATGATCTAGTGACCCATCTGGTGGATGAGGGAAAGGCTGTTGATGTGGTCTACCTAGACTTCAGCAAAGCCTTTGACACTGTCTCCCACAGCATTCTCCTGCAGAAGCTGGCATCCAGAGGCTTGGATGGATACACTCTTGGCTGGGTAAGGAGCTGGTTGGAGGGCCGGGCACAGAGAGTGGTGGTGAATGGAGTCAAATCCAGCTGGCGACCGTTTGTGAGTGGTGTTTCCCAGGGGTCGGTGCTGGGGCCTGTCCTCTTCAATATCTTTATTGATGACCTCGATGAGGGCATCGAGTGCACCCTCAGTAAGTTTGCAGATGACACCAAATTGGCTGGAAGTGTGGATCTGCCTGGGGGTAGCGAGGCCCTACAGAGGGATCTGGACAGGCTGGAGAGCTGGGCTGAAGCCAATGGGATGAGTTTCAACAAGGCCAAATGCCGGGTCCTGCACTTCGGCCACAACAACCCCAGGCGACGCTACAGGCTTGGGGCGGTGTGGCTGGAGGACTGCGTAGAGGAAATGGACCTGGGGGTATTGATTGATGCTCGGCTGAATATGAGCCGACAGTGTGCCCAGGTGGCCAAGAAGGCCAATGGCATCCTGGCTTGCATCAGAAACAGTGTTGCAAGCAGGAGCAGAGAGGTGATTGTTCCCTTGTATTCAGCACTGGTGAGGCCGCACCTCGAGTACTGTGTCCAGTTTTGGGCCCCTCACTGCAAGAAAGATATTGAGGCCCTGGAACGTGTTCAAAGGAGGGCAACAAAGCTGGTGAGGGGTCTGGAACACAGGCCATATGAGGAGAGGCTGAAGGAGCTGGGAATGTTCAGCCTGGAGAAGAGGAGGCTCAGGGGAGACCTCATTGCTCTCTATAACTTCCTGAAGGGAGGTTGTAGTGAGCTGGGGGTCGGCCTCTTCTCTCGTGTCATTAGTGATAGGACCAGGGGGAATGGCTTCAAGCTACAGGGGAGATTCAGGCTGGACATTAGGAAGTATTACTTTTCAGAAAGGGTGGTCAGGCACTGGAACGGACTGCCCAGGGAGGTGGTGGAATCACCGACCCTGGGGGTGTTCAAGGAAAGACTGGATGTTGTGTTGAGGGACATGGTTTAGTAGGAGCTATTGGGAATAGGTGAACGGTTGGACTGGGTGATCTTTTAGGTCTTTTCCAACCTTGGTGATTCTATGATTCTATGATTCTACAGTATACTTAGTTCTGTGAAACCAGCTTGTGATCCAGAAGACTTTGTGAATTAGATCATTTGTGCTGATTTGTGCTTCTTTCTACTCCATAGCATAACATTGTCAGCTGATACTTTTGAAAAGGAAAGTATTTAGCTCATGTTAAAACTTTCGTAAAGTATGTTTGGTATTCAAAAAATCTAAAAATAAAATATAAATGTATATTAAATGTTTTTTCTTATTGTTTTCAGCCAATTTTATGGGTCACTCTGTAAGTGAGGAAAAGCTGTTTACACTGCCTTTTACTGTCATAGCGATGATTATTTTATAACATGAAAAAAAATATGTTGTGTATATAGCAGGGAAAACGAAACCATTCCCAGAGGGCTGCAGATATATTTCTATTGTTTTGTTTAAGGGTAAATAGCATTTTGGAAATAAATGATTGTGCCTTATTCTCTCTGTCTCTTCCAGCTTGGTGTTTCACTTGGCACTTTGGGAGCAATACCAGCAGCAGCATTGGACCCTAACATTACTGCACTGGGAGAAATACCCCAGCCACCAATAATGGGGAATGTGGACCCATCCAAAATTGATGAAATCAGGAGAACAGTATATGTTGGAAACTTGAATTCACAGGTAGTTTTTTGTTGTTGTTGTTTTGTTTTTTTTTTTTAATTATTATTTTTCTTTATTTGTGTGTGTGTGGGAAATACTTATGGAAGACAAGAATTGTTATTTGTGAATTATAATCACAGGAGCTCCTGTTAGATGATGTCAATTTAACCAAAGAAATAAATTAGGCTGGTTTTGGTTACTAGTGATATTTCTAATTCTGAATGCTCCTGCACCAACCAGGTCAGACCAGATTGTGGAAGTCACTCTAGCAGGGTACCAGAAGAATCACAGTGCAGTAGAATTGAGGATGCATACGTAAGAAGATTGTGTGTATTAATCAACTGTGTTGTATTAGCTGAATAATACCTTAGAATACATGAGATCATGATAGCCGTCCTTCACCACAACAGTGTGCAGATCTTAAGTACAGTAAAAAGGCATTCACCTGAAATATGGTAGAAGGTTAATGATTTCTCCCAGTGGAAGTTGCAAAATCAGCCTGAGAATCTTCATGTTTCTGTGATAGAAAAGCTCGGTGTCTGAAGTATTTATTTTCAGTAGTTATTGATCGAAAAGCAATTGCTTTGATGGATGGCACTTGTAGTATTTGTTTGGGAGTTTTATTTGATTGCTGAAGTAGCTGTTAGAGTGTAAAAGTTCAGTTGATTGCAGTAAAATCAAATGAGTTGTAAGCTAGTAGAAAAACAGATAAAAGCTAAATGTTGTTATATTTTTTTTTTTTTTTTTTTTTTTTTTTTTTTTTTAATTGATTAAAAGTCATCGTAGCAGAAATAGCTTGGACATATGTGTATCAGTTATTTCAGAGAGGTTGCTTGGAAAGCTCAGAATCCTGTGCAAGTTTATTTACAGCCTAAATATAGTTCTTTTGGTTGCAATATTTTAACTTGTAGTATTTTCTTTAGATTAAAGGAAAAAAAAGTCTGAAAAAAAAAAAGTAAAATAGCCAAATTTGTGTCACCTGTGAAGCCATGGGAAGATGTTTTACTGAAAGTAGAGATTTTTTTATTACTTAATACATTATATGATCACTTTTCATTATATGTTTTACTTCAGCTGTGCTCTTTGACTCTTTCTAGACCACAACAGCTGATCAGCTGCTTGAATTCTTTAAGCAAGTTGGAGAAGTCAAATTTGTGCGAATGGCAGGTGATGAGACTCAACCAACACGATTTGCTTTTGTGGAATTTGCAGACCAAAATTCTGTACCTCGAGCTCTTGCCTTTAATGGAGTTATGTTTGGAGACAGGCCACTAAAGTAAGGAATTAATTATCCATAGGCTTATTGAATGAAAGATTTCTCAGTATTCTTATATATTTATGACTCTGATCTACAGGAAGATACAGTAGTGAATATTTTATCAATATAAGGATCTATTGTTAACAAACTGAAACACTTTTCTAAGTGTCTCAAAATTGGATATAACTTCCTCTAAGAAGAATGTGATTAGCAGAGAGTAAAATATGTTTACATTTAATCTTGAGGTAGTGAATGCTTTAACAAGGAAAGAATCTGCAAGGTTGTTGGTGCTGATAAAGCTTTTCATTATATATTTTACTTCAGCTGTGCTGTTTGACTCTTCCTAAACCACAACAACTGATTAGCTGATCAGAGTCATTATATATAGATGACTCTGTAATGAGTTTTAAGTTTAAAATTTAATCTAAAATAGAAAGCTAGATTCCTAGACTTGAACCTTTATTTATTCAGAATGACACAGAAATACTGTACCTTATTTATTTAAAATATTTGGAAGGAATAAAAGGCACACATTTCAGGTATTTAGACAGCAGATGAGCATTATGAAAAATATGTAGTTTACTAACTTCGAAATTTTTAGTCAGACACGAATTTGAGATGGTTTCCTTTCTTATTTTTCATTTTCTTTTTCAAATATTTGTGAAATAAATGTTTTATTTTTCCTTAATTTAGAATAAATCACTCCAATAATGCAATAGTGAAGCCTCCTGAAATGACACCGCAGGCTGCTGCCAAGGAACTGGAAGAAGTGATGAAGAGAGTAAGGGAAGCTCAGTCTTTCATATCTGCTGCTATTGAGCCAGGTACGTATATTACATTTACTATCTGACAGACATGTTTTTTGTACACCTTGGAACCTGCTATTAAGAGCACTTTCAGACACAGGAAAAGGTTACTTGTAGCTGAATAACATGTGTAGAAAGAAATGAAAGTTATCACAATTGCCTTCATGTAACAGAGCAGTGGAAGTTGGCTTTTCTATTTTGACATGTATTGTCTTCACGTACACGCTTACTGAGCATTTTCAAAAACAGGAGGACAATGCAAATGCATTGAATGTTGATGCTTCTTTAAGTTGAAAATACATAGAAATATTTACCATGAAATTGCTTTATGCTTTGTTTCATTCTTTAGCACACATTAGTGCCATGGTTTCATGATCAGAGAGAGCTAGCATTCAGTCAAAGCAGCGATATTATGCTTTCTTAATCTATAGCACATTACTTTTGTCTCTGTCGCTGTGCTTTTTTTCATGGTGGCTCAAGACTGAGCATCTATAAAGCAAATAGGATCAGAAATGAATTTGGGATAAAACAGCGTGTTATAATGGACTCTTTTTCATCCCTATTAGTAGCCTGATCCCTGTTAACACTGAAATGGCTGGTCTAGGAGGAAGATTTCTCATGGGTTGAGAGGTTGGATGCTGCTATTCAGTGTTGACTTTTGCAGACTTGTTCTGATTTCTAAATCACAGCATAAAACAATCTGATTTTGTTAACCTTATTGACATCATCCTTTTTCTCTGGATCAGTGAGCTTTTGTCATTTTATTAACAAACTCAGACTTTATGTACATTAGATTACGAGGAGTCTTAAGTTTTTGGAGAGAGTTGAGTTTTTTCTCATTTTTGGCATTGGAATAAAAATAGCTCTAGCATTTCCTCAGTGTAAAGCAGCAGAACAGTAATCTTTTAAAAAGAGTCCGAACCAAAGTCTACTGTGGTCACTGGTGGCTTACTGGCCTTTGGATCAAACTTTTCAACCTTTTCTCTCCATTCCTTCCTCTCCTTGTGGATTATAATTTGAATATTTGTACAGTGGTGTAAATGTCTAAAAGACCAGAAAATATTATAATTCATATTTTATGCTTGTTTTCAAAATTATGCCCTGTATTCTAATTTACTCTGTTCTTCTCAGGGTATTTTTTTTTTTTTTAATAGTTACATGAATAATATACCAAGAGGTAAACATGTTGTAATCTTGTGCATTGTGGCAGCAACATAAATCCCTTTCCTAATAGAGCTAGCTGTTTATAATTATCTGGTTTATGTGTACTGCTGCAGGATGGCTGCACTCAACGAGTATATGCAATGACTTTCTTGGATGTTTCTGAAGGATATTTGCAAAGAAGGAAGATGTGCAAAGAGTAGGCCCCTTGTACTATATGTGGTACATTCCACTTGTGCCAGATTGTTAACTGGGATCTTTAAATGTTCTGAGCTTACACTGCAAAGTGGTTTTTTCCTCTCAGAGTCTGGAAAGAGCAGTGAAAGAAAAGGCGGTCGATCTCGTTCCCATTCTCGTTCAGAATCCAGGTCTAGCTCAAAATCCCGATCTAGAAGGAAAAGATCACATTCAAAACACAGGTAGGTTTTTTTTTTTCTTTTGTAATAAGAGATGATACTGTTTTTCTTCAGTACTGAAGTTATTTTTTAAGTAAGTATTGCTATGGAATACATGAATAGCTTATATTGGTTAGATCAGAGTAACTGGAATCTTTGTCTCTGAACAGATACTCTTTTGCTCTAGTGTTTTCAAGATTACATTCAGTAAAAACACACTAGATGTTATCTGTAGACGCATCAGTGCTATGCAGCATATTTCATTCTATGACCTCCATGTTTTAAAAACTAACGGTTATCTGCATTATATGTTATTATTATTATTATTGCTAGTATGAAGCTCCCCTGCTGTCTTGAACTTCTAAACATGGAATTAATAGAACCAGTATTTCTGTTTACTGTAATGTAAATGTGGTTAAATTTTTTAGAAACCAAGAGAAAAAGGCTCAAGGGACAGTTTTCCTTTCTTCAGTTTTTTTGCTTTGCTAAGTTTATTAATTTCTGAAGCAGACTTTGGAGTGTAGGAGGAAATGAAGCAACTAGATCACTGTTAAAATTAGTCCATAAATTTATTTCCCATGAATGAGGCAGTATTGATATGTGACGCTTACAGACATGTCCTGAAAATGTTTTGTATTTTTTCAGTGACTTCTGAGCATTTATGTAATCAATCTAAAGGTATTTGTATATTCTTGGTGTGGAAAAAACACTCAACATTTATTAGATAGTTTACACTTTAGAAAGGTAAGTTGCAGAAACAACTTTGTTGCATCTTTTCTGACATTGTGTTCTAATGGGAGAACACAATATATAAAGAAAAGCGTGAGTAGAAGTGCACACTAAGTGGATTGTACTCCCAGTGAAATATGGTGTAAGTGGAGGTTTGGGTTTTGTAGCAGAGGGACAACACAGTACGTTACCTATTGACATCAGACCATTGGGCACCATTTTAATGCAAGAACAGTCATTTGGTCACTTCCTTATTGCAAGCTGTTTCTGTTGCTCTGCTGTTTCTGTAACATGGGATATGACTGAAAAGCTGGGTTGGTGTAACATTCCAGCGATGTCTGCGCTGTTTCATAACAACACAAATTAGATTGAGTTTTAGAAAATAAATTTGCATTCCTCACTTTAAGAAATCTGCGCTTTCAAATATCTGTTGATATCACTTTTTAAAAGTATAGTTTACGTCTGTTACCAGCAATTTTAATTACGTGCTGCAAAAAGAGCCAGGCTGATCGACTGAAGCAAATGCATCCCTAAGAATAAAATGTCCTTCCCATTGTCCTGTTTAGGCTTTTAATCATCTCCATATATCTCTTTCATCTTTATGGTACAAATTTTATTTAGGAGCTTATTTTGGCCAAGTTGTAATTAGTTTGCCCTGAAGTTAGTTTCTACACTACAGTGATGTGGAGCAAAGCGGTAGCTAAAAAAAGGTTGCCTTTCCTCTCCTCTTGGTATATCCTTATTCTGTATGTCTTGAGCTGCAGAAGACAGGTAGAACTGTTATTTTTTCTGTCTTCCTGTTCTTCAGGATTTATTGAGTAAATACATGGCTTTTCTGTCTTTGATAAGTTGAACTTTGTTGTACATGAACCTTTCAGGCAAAGTATTCAAATAATGTGTTGTTTGAAATCTAATATTCAAATTTACCTTTTTATTTTAATTTTCCTAGGAATATGATCTTCCAAAAATGGTGAATACTGGGAAAACAGAGTATAGTAATTTTTAGAAGTGCTGTTTTCGTTACCAAATCTGAGACTGTACTGTATATCAGTATATACAGTATATAATAGGGTGCTCCATATATATATGAGCATATATATATATATAATAGGAGTGCTCCGAAAGTAGTAACTCTTATTCTATTGTGTTGGCCTGCAACATCTAATCTGAACGTTGGTGGTATGTCAGTAGAGGTTGGAGCTTCCCACCAGTATGCCATTGCATTTTGTTGCCATGTGACAGATGGCAGTAGGGGTACAGTGTGATAGAATGGTGTCTGGTAAGGAAATGTGCACAAAGCAAAGCTTTGTCATTGAATTTCTCCATGCAAAAAAATATGGCACTCATTAATGTTCATTGGTGCTTGCTGAATGTTTATGGAGAACAAACAGTGGATGTGAGTACAGTGAGGCCTTGGGTAGTATATTTCAGCAGGGCTGACAGCAACATGAAAGACAATTCAGACAGCCTTGCAGATTTTGAAGATTGCAGGATAGAGGCTTTTGTTCATCGCTCTTAAAAATGCATAGCTAGTGGTATTGACTGGGTTGAAAAGGAGTATTATGTAACTGAATTTGCTATACCAAGTAGTATTATTGTGCTCTTTGTGTTGCTTATAGTTTACATGGGAATAAGTAGGAGGCATTACTTTTAGAGTGATCTAAATAGTTTTGTCAGAAAACTTCAGTTGGATTTCAGTTGGAGCTTCCGCACATTATTTTAATTCCTTTTTTTCATCATTTTTCATCACGAAGTAAATTTTCTTTCTGAATCTTGAGAATTGTTAAATCTGTGCTAACAAATCCTTCCATCTGAAGTGATAACTTTTCTAAATTCTGAACCACAAATGATAGGTTTGGTTTTTTATTTGGCGAACCAACCAAGTGACCAAAACTGCAATAAATGATTGGACCTGAGGAAGAAAAAAACTATTTTTACAAGCTGATCTTAGATCTTAAATACCTTAATTTTCTAAGAAAAGCTATCCCACTGTGATTTTTCCAGAGTATTCATAAAACTTAATACTTTAATGATGAATCTCAAAAGAGAGCATATGCACCAGTTTAAATTTTAAGTAAGCTTATTTATAAAAACGTTAGGCACTGAATTACTAAAATGCCACCCTACGTAATTTTTCATAGTGAGGCCAGATTATTATACCTTTTTCCATTTCAACTGATCTAATTTTTATGAAGTTTCAGTATTAAAGTATTCTTTTTTATCTTGTTCATATAGAAGTCGGTCTGGCAACAGATCGCTCTCAAGACACAAGGACAGGCGCAGATCCCGAAGTCCCCTGAAAAAACGATCTAGATCTAAGGAAAGGCGGAAATCAAGGAGTCGGTCACGCTCTCGGTGAGTTTCCATTCCTAAGAAATGATGTTCTTCTTAGCTACAGTACGAGGTTTTTGAAAAAATCCAATAAATATTTTAGGCGACGGTAAAGCATGGAGCATAAATGCTTCATCCTGTTCCTAGGCTTTGTTTGTGAGGCAGAAGAACAGAACATAGATTTTTATATTGAATTACCTAAACTTCTGTATAGAAGTCCTGTTTCCATGTTTGTACCTATGTAAAATTATAAAATGTCTTGGGTTGGAAAGGACCTTTAAAAATAATCTAGTTACAACCCTGCTGCCTTGGGAAGGGTCACCTTCCAGTAGATGAGGTTGCCCAGATCCCTGTACAGCCTGACCAGGAACACTCCCAGAGATGGTTCATACAATCACAGAATCAAAGAATGGCCTGAGTTGAAAAGGACCACAATGATCATCTAGTTTCAAGCCCCCTGCTGTGTGCAGGGTCACCAACCACCAGACCAGGCTGCCCAGAACCACATCCAGCCTGGCCTTGAATGCCTCCAGGGATGGGGCATCCACAACCTCCTTGGGCAACCTGTTCCAGTGCCTCACCACCCTCCTAATATCTAACCTAAACCTCCCCTGTCTCAGTCTAAAACCATTCCCCCTTGTCCTGTCACTACGCATCCTTGGAAACTGCCATTCCCCTTCCTGTTTATATGCTGCCTTCAAGATCTGGAAGGCCATAATGAGGTCTCCCCAGAGCATTCTCTTTTCCAAGCTAAACAAGCCCAGTTCCCTCAACCTTTCTTCATAGTAGACGTATTCCAGCCATCTGTTCATCTTAGTGGCCCTCCTCCGGACCCGCTCCAAGAGCTCCACGTCCTTCCTGTACTGGGGCCCCAGGCCTGGACGCAGTACTGCAGATGAGGCCTCACAAGAGCTGAGTAGAGGGGGACAATCACCTCCCTCTGTCTGCTGGCCACCGCTTTTTTAATGCAGCCCAGAACACAGTTGGCCTTCTGGGCTGCAAGCACACACTGCTGGCTCATGTCCAGCTTGTCCAGCTTCTTGTCTACCAGGACCCCCAAGTCCTTCTCCACAGACTGCTCTCAAGGGGTTGAGGGTCCCCTAATCTGTCTGCACTTGGCCTTCATTAGTTTTTCATTGGCCCACTTCTCCAGCCTATCCAAGTGCCTCTGGATGGTTTCCCTTCCTCCTAATGTATCAACTGCACCGCTCAGGTTGGTGTCATCCAAACTCACTGAGGGTGCACTCGAAGCCATCATCTCTCACAGATGAAGATGTTGAAGAGCACCAGCCCCAGCACTGACCCCTGAGGGATCATGCTTGTGACCTCCACTGTTCATATCCACAGCTTCTCTGGGCAACCTATTCCCCTGCCTTAGCACCATCTGAATAAAGAAGGTATATCTAACCTAATTTTACCCTCTTTTAGTTTAAGAGCATTAGCTCTTGTCCTATCACAATATTCACTGATGAAGAATCTCATCTTTCTTGTGGACCTTCTTTAAGTATTGGAAGGCTGCTCTAATGTTTCTCCGGAGCCTTCTCTTCTGTAGGCTGAATAACCCCAACTTTCTCGGTCTGTCTTTATAGAGAGATGCTCTAGCCCTCTGATGAGTTTTGCAGACTTTCTTCTGGAGCCACTCTTAACAACTCCATGTCTTTTGTATAGTGAAGCCTCCTATAGGAATGCAGTATTCCAGGTGTTGTCTCAAGAGCAGAGCAGAATGGGAAATCAGCTTTCTGATGTAGCTCAGAATATGATTGGTTTTTTGGGCTTGGAGAGTACGTTGCCAACCCATGTCAGTTTTTCGTCCACCACTGCCCCTCAGTACTTCTCTGTGAGACTTGTCTATCAGGGCACCCACCCAGCCTGTATTCATGTTTGGATTGTTCTAATCCAAGTGCAGGATGTTGCACTTGGCCTTATTGAACTTCATGAGATTCATGGAGACTCCTCAAGCCTTTAAGGGTCTCCCTGGATATCATCTGAACTCGCTGAGGTTGCATTCAATCCCACTGTCCATGTCACTGACAAAGGTGTTAAACAGTATCAATCCCAACACCGACCTCTGAGGAACGCCAGGCGTCACTGCTCTCTACTTTGACCCCAAGCCATTGACTGCAGCCCTCTGAATGTAACTGTTTAGCCAATTCCTTATCTACTGAGTGGTCTGTCAAATACATGTCTCTCCATTTTAGAGACAAGAATGTCATGCAGGAAAAGATAAAGTGCTTTGCACAAGTCAAGGTTGATTAAATCAGTTCTCTAGCCATTTCCAACAATGCTGTAATTCCATTATAGAAGGACACCAAATTTGTTGGGTGTGATTTAGCCTTGGGGAAGCTGTGCTGGCTATCCCCTTTAGTCTCTGCTTTAGCGTGGTTTCCAGGGGGATTTGCTCCACAGTCTTCCAGGCAGAGAGGTGGGACTGACTGCACTGTAGTTATTTACTTTCTGTTTTTAAAAAAGGGGGTTATATTTCCCCTTTTTCAGTCACTGGGAAATTCACTGATTTCCTATGAAATTCCAACAGAGTATTTATAATGTGCATGTGGAAGTAGCTTCATAGTAGAAAACTTGATAATTTTCTTCTTCTTTCATCTCTTTAATGCCCCAATTCATTTAAGGGGAGCTTCATAGCTCTTTTTTTACTGAGAGGAGAAGTTTTGTGGGAAAGAGAACTGTGAATCTTTGGACCTTGGTGGGAACAGTTAGGAGTACTTCATGTAGTTAGGCTTTGTTGATAGCTGACAAAATGTTTTTGATTCTGTCTTGCACTTGTCTGACAGAGTTTTTAAGATATCTACTGATTGTAAGAAGGAAATCCAGTGAAATGTGTATAATAATTAACTGCAAGGTGTTTCTGGTGGCATTGTGAGATCCATTGCTATTGTAGGGATAGCACACTGTCTCGTCTTTATGGACTTAGATTGTTTCTGTGAGATATGTAAAAAAGTGTTTGCCAGAACCTGATAGGTATGGAACATAAAGTAGGAGTTGAGGAAATATATAACTAGAGACTTGATAGAGTGAAGAAAGGTGAGGGCTGTGCTTAGGGTCTTTCCAGTCTGAACGGGTCTCTTTGGGAATCTTTCAAAATCCTGGGCTAGATATCAATACCAAAAGAAACAGCAATTCAGTCTGGTTCCTGTGGATGTGAAAAGGCCTGTTGATCAACTTCTTATAATGTGCTTTGTCCTGTTTGTCTAAACAACTATTGATTTTCATATGTCCTTGAGGCAGCTCATGTGCATGTCCACTAGGTGAGATGGTTGGGAGTCTCGCACTTCCAAATAATCCTCTGCCAAAAGGTAGTGTCGTATTCCAGTCAAAACTATAACTTAATCAGTTTTTTTATTTGACTTGGTTACTAGAACATATGAGTAAGTTTTTCTCACAATTTTTCCTTTTATGAACAGGTGTAATTCTACTTGTTCTATAGAAGTTAACTTGATCTGTTACCCTTATGTTTTCGCTGTCATATAAACTTTCTTACAGTTAGATAATTTTCAAATTCCTGATTACATTAGAGATGATTGAATTGTCTTGAGTTTTGACCTTACATTTGCCTTTTGGGGGAATTTAATCAATGAAATGTAACCCCTGGTTTTGGTTTCTCTGTATTTACTGGTTTGGATTTGCAAGCAGTTCCGGATGTTGATGTGAGAGAGCACTGTAGACTTAAGATTTCTGTCAGTATTCATATGGGGCTGGTTAATTTTCAGTCTCTGTTATATGGATCCAATTTTAGTAAGAAATGGATTTAGAAATGGTAGTGTTTGTCTCAGTTCTGAGAAAATGTAGAATATCTGTCTATATGTAATAAGAATTATGAGGTAAAGAAACTTTAGTACCATTGCCCAGTACAAATGAATTTGATTTCTAATTTGCAGACATTTCCTAGCTATTTAGTCTCCCCCTCATGATAAATTTGAGTGCAAAAGTAGAATTTTGCATAATAGTTATTTTTCAACAGAAGTAGTTTCTCTTGAGCATTTGCTGTATGCTGAAGACTTAGTTGTAGTTTTTATTAGGAAATTCGAAGATGAGTTAATGGATTTGTGTTTGGCTTTTCACAGGGACAAGAAAAGAGACAAGGAAAAGGTCAAGGAAAAAGAAAAGACCAAAGAAAAGGAGAGAGACCGAGACAAGGAGAAGGAAAGAGACCGGGATAGAGACAAAGAAAGGGAAAGAGAGAGAGATAAGGAGAGAAACAGGGACAAGGACAGGGATAAAGACAAAGATCGAAACAAAGATCGGGAGAGAGTCAAAGATAGGGATAGAGACAGGGACAAGGAAAGGGAAAAGGAGAAAGATGAAAAGGAAAAAGACAGGGAAGATGTAGATCAGAACAAAGAAAAAGATGATGACAAAGATGGGGAGAAAGATAGAGAGAAGATGAAGGATAGGGAGGGAGATAAGGACAAGGGAGGGGACAAAGAGAAAGAAAGAGAAAAAGAAAAGGAAAGAGATGGGGATAAGGAGAGGGAGCGAGAAAAAGAGAGAGATGATAAAAAGAAGAAAGATAAGAGATCCAGAACTCCCCCAAGAAGCTATAGCTCTTCAAGAAGATCGCGTAGCTCCAGCAGGTTTGTTATTTTGAATTTTTTTAATGCTTTTTTGAACTTATCAGCACAACAAAATAAATCTCTTTTTCACGTTTCAGTACTACCATCTTGATAGTTCAGTTTCTGTTCCTTTGTTTAGTATATTTCCCAGTGAAGTAAAATGAACTACAAAGAAATCTGTATCTTACTTGGAAGTAGTAGTTTGTTGTCAGGCTGCTGGTGCTTGCCTTCACTTAAATATACAGTATAGTATTTGAGGGCAGTAAGTAGATGGTTGTTGTGCCATTTCTCTGTGTTGGAGCCAACAGATGGAGGGGCATCACACATTGTCCTGATGAAAGTATGAATCATCAATGTGTAATTTCTTGGTTACTTGTATAGAGTCATTGAATATGCTGGGTTGGAAAGGACCCACAAAGATCACAGGCTCTTCCAATAGGACCACTAAGAAATTGAAACAGCCTCTTCAGAACAGCTAGTCTAACTGGAAAAAAAAGCAGTCAGTGGTCCTATACTCCAGGTGACAGTACTGGAGCTAGTTCTGTTGAACATCATCAGTGGCCTAGCCAGTGGGACTGAACACACTCTCAGCAAGTCTGCAGACAGTACTGAACTGGTAAGAGCTGACAGTGTGTCAGAGGGCTGTGCTGCCATTCAAAGGAACATCAACAGACTTAAAAAATGAGCTGAAGCTGAACAGGACTGTGCTGAGTCCTGCAACTGTGCAGGAACAGCTCTACAGACCAGTGCAGTGAGAGTGCTGATTGACTGGAAGGCCAGCTGGCAGAAAAAGAACTGGTGGTTCTGATGAACCCCTAGGTTAACATGAGCCAGCAATGCACCCTTGCAGTCAAGAAGGACGGTGGTATGCTGAGCTGCTCTTTCTAGAGAAGAGTTTTGTGAGCAAACAAAAGGAAGGTTACTCTTTCCTCAGCGCTGGTGGTGCCAGATCTGGAATACGGTGACCAGTTCTGGGCCTTCCAAGTACAAGAGAGAAACAGACCTAACTGCAGTACATCCATTGAAGAGCCACAAAGCTGATGAAGTGTCTTGGAGCACCAGTCCTACAAGGAGAGCCTGGGAGAGCTGGGTTTCTTTATTCTGTAGAGGAGAAAGCTGAGGAACGTCCTAAGAAAACACACAGGTTTCTAGTGGGAGAGTGTAAATGAAGACTGTAAGAAGAGTGGAGACAGATTCTTCTTAATGGCCAGCGAAAGAGCTGAAAGAAGTAGACACATATTGTGGTCTGGACAATAAGGCGTTGAGGTGGACTGTGACCTGGCTGAAGGAAGGAAGCCAGAGAGTTGTGGTCAGTGGGACTGAGTTTAGTTGAAGGACTCTTGTGGAGTCCTTCAAGGGTTGGTTCTGGGACCAGTACTACTCAGTATATTCATGAACGACTTGGATGAGTGAGGGAATAGAATGCACTGTCAGCAAGTTTGCTGATGACATACAACTGGGATGAGTGGCTGACAGGCCATAAAGCTGTGCTGACATTCATCAAGTCCTGGACAGGCTGGAGAATTGGACAGAGGGAAATTTAATGAAATATAGCAAGGACAAGTCGAGTCTTGCATCTGGGCAAAAACAACCTCACGTGCCAATATTGGTTGAGTACTGAACTGTGGAGAGCAGTGTAGGGGGAAGAGAGTTGGAGGTCTTGATGGACAGCAGGATGACCATGAGCCAGCACTGTGCCCTTGTGGCCTAGAAGGCCAGTGGCATCCTTTGGTGTATTAGAAGTGGTATGGTTAGTAGGTTGAGAGGGGTTCTCCTTCCCCGCCCCTCTGCCCTGGTGAGATTGCATCTGGAGTATTGTGTCCAGTTCTGGAGCCCTCAGTTCAAGAAAGACAGGGAACTGCTTGAGAGAGTCCACCTCAGAGCCACAAAGATGATTAAGGGAGTGGAGCATCTCCCTTACAAGGAAAGGCTGAGGGAGCTGGGTCTCTTTAGCTTGGAGGAGATGGGGGAGTGACCTCATTAATGTTTATAAATAGGTAAAGGGTGAGTGTCAGGAAGATGGAGCCAGGCTCTTCTCATTGAAATCCATTGACAGGACAAGAGGCTGTTGGTGCAGTCTGGAACAGAGGAGGTTCCACATAAATATGAGGAAAAACTTCTTCACTATGAGGGTAACCAGAACACTGGAACAGGCTGCCCGGAGAGCTTGTGGGATCTCCTTCTCTGGAAACATTCAAAGCCCTCCTGAACATGTTCCTGTGTGACCTGATGTAGGTGTTCCTGCACAGGCAGTGGGTTGGACTAGGTGATCTTTCAGGGTTTCTTCCAATCCCTGACATTCTGTGATGTTGTGATACTGAAACACAGAAAGACATTTCTTTATAATGCTTAAATTGTGGTGGTGTTGTTTTGTTTTGTTGTTTTCTGTTTTATTTTCTGGGAAGCCCAGAACGTTGTCCAGGAAGACTGAGGAGATTCAGTCCATAGAGATACACAAAGCCTGACTAAATGTGTCCCCAAGTAATCTGCTGTAGTTGACTTTGTTTTGACTGAGATCTGGAATATGGTTAGGTGAATTTCACGGAGCTCTTCCAACTTCAGTAACTATTATTGTCTCAAGAAGTATCTGACAATAAGTTAGGCTGCTAAGCCCCAGTTAGTTTGTATATAAGGGAGTCTGTTTACTTTGGTGATTGACTTTGCCGATTGACTTTGCCTACTTGACACTTAAAAATCAGAATCTGAAAATACAGTTTTGTTATTGTTTGAACACTAGTTACCTAGTTATTCACAGACATGCAGGAAAGCAACATAAATATCCATTTTATCCATGGATAAAAATGCGTTTCCAAAATCCTTATATGAAAAAATGTACTGATAAACGTGGGGGTGTTCAAGATGAGATGCGTGTTAACAGTAAACCAGTGTTATCTCAGTGTAACCTTGTGACTACTTTTTATTTCTGTTTACCAAATATCAAATCAATCTTATGATCCTACTAAACAAAATTATCTCTGAAATTTTGTACCGTGAAGCTCTTGTCCTTCAGAAGTTTAGGCTAGATGAAATTGCAGATGAAATGAATCTAGTTAGTTTTAAAAAACAGGTCTTAATATATCCTCCTGTTATTCATCTAATAACTTTTGATTCCTTGCACTTTATAAACATCAGAGAAATTAGATGTTAATGGCAGATGCTGGAATGCATAATTGTATCTTCCATGGAATATGTTGAAATGCACTCACAGCTAGTTTTAATTTTTCCTGCTCTGCATCAGTAGTTCTTCCTGTTTCCTTTGCCTATTCTATGGAGAGGAAAGAGTTATCTTTGATAGCTAGAGGTTTTGCATTTTTGTTGAACAAAGCTTTACTTTCTCGATTTTTGATGTATTTTAACATGTGCCTCAGTATATGTTAACCAGCTAATAAATGTTCTATTGTATTCAAAACCAGATTCCAGAATAGAAACTGAGCAAATGTATCTGTATAAAGAAGCTGTTTTGAGCTGTGTTTGTTGAGCATAGAGTGTTAGGCAAAGAATAAATAGAAAATGGCCTGTTTTAATTTCAACAACAGCTTAAACTTCATTATGCAGTATTTGCTTCTGAACTTCAGTCATGCTGAACTGAAATTCTGGTGATCCTGAGTGTTTAATTCTAAGTTCTGAAGTTCATATTGCTGAAGTTATACCTTTTGTGTATATGTCGCTCTTCATTCAATTCGAGTTTTCTCCTGATTGAAGAAATTCTTATTTAATACAGTATTAGTAAATGTTTCATTTGTGAGGTTTAAGTACAAGCACGGGTGGGTAAGCATAAAACTGAAATCTAAAATGACACAGTCTTTTTTTCCACTTCATGCTTGTGTTCTCCCTTTTCCTGCCACTCTGAAACATGAAAAAGTTCTTCTGCTTTGTGTAGTGTAGAAATCATTGTATATAATGTTAAACTCAGGAGTATTTACTTAGCTGTTATGACAGTTCTTTTTAAGAGATTTTATACAATTTCTGAGTTTATTATTTGTTGGTTTTTGTTTATGTGGAATTTTTTGTCATGCAGAGAAAGGCGTAAGAGGAAGAGTAGAAGTCTTTCTAAGTCTCCTAAAACATCCAAAGGAACAAAAAGAAAGTCTTCACGAACTCCTTCTCCAAGAAGGTCAGTTTGATGTAAATAAACATTAGTGAGTAATAAAGAAGATACAATGTTGTATTTCAATTCAACAAAACATAAAGATCAATATTCTGGAAAAAAGGAGTCAATTTCTTCTTCTTCTTCTTTTTTTTTTTTTAGTGCAGAGAGTTATCTAATAAAAAGTGGATGCAGACAATTTCTGTTGGTCAGTGTGATGCAGTTTTAATTAAAAAAAACAAACAGAACTTCAAGAACTTGAGGGATTTTAAGTGTTACACTTTGAATTGTCATCTGTCTGTCAGTGAGACAGATGTTCTCTTAAAGAGCTCTTCCTCAAGTACAGTTTAATTCACTTTTCTGTTTGCTCACACTGTGCACTCTAAACATGTGTTCCTTAGCTCTCTTCAGTCAGAAAATCCTCTTGTTCCTATGCCGCTGTTATGTTTTGGATTTATTATTTTTATTTTATTTATTTATTTATTTATCAACTAAATGGTTTGAAGATGATCAAAACCTTTCATAGAGAAACCAGGATACCAATATTTTTAGTTACTCTTCTGTGCAGTGTACTGTGCAATACAGTTCATGTAAGCTCTGGTAGTTCATTTGCTGCTTTTGGATCATTTAATTTGAATGAAAATGTTCTTGAACAGAAACAAGAAAGAGAAAAAAAGAGAACGAGATACATATAATGAAGGAAGAGAAAGAGAACGCTCCAACTCCAAGAAAAAAAGTAGTAAAGAGAAAGAGGGAAGGGAGAAATCTGACAAAAGCACCACTGCTTTGAAGGTAAGCTCTGCAATCAAGCGATTATAAATAGAGAGCTGCAGAAGGAGTGATAACTGGAATATCCTGCTTTCTTTTTCTTTCATTTTCTCTTTTCTCCTCAGCGAATTATTGCCTCTTGAAACAATTGAGGTTAGCTTCTGCTAGCAGGAGATGAAAGTTGTTTTCTGTGAGATGTTAGTAGGCCAACTTTTGTGTTTAAACTTTATTCAACCACTAGGAACTTGTATGTATAGTCTACAAAAACGCAATGTTATTCTTTCTCTCTCTTTTCTGTTAGTTGCCATATTTTAAGGCTTGGTTGGTTGCCTAACTGTGGAAAGATCAAGGAAGCTGACTGTGTAGATAAGCAGTAGGCTTCTGGGACATTTTCACTCTGCAGTGCAGCCTGTCCCTGGTTGCTTTGGTCCTGGGCTGTGTGCTGAACTCTGCAGGAAGTAAAATGAAGATTTGGGGAAGAATAGTGTGGGATTTTCCCTTGCAAAATAGAAGTTGGTGTGATTAAGGAAAGAATAATCTTCAAATTATTAAACCTCTATTTTGAAAAGCAGTGTGCCCTTAAAGGGTAGCTTGTTGTACTTATAGTGATTCAGCTATTATAAGATGTCTGATGTCTATGCTATGTGACCACTTACTGAAGAACTGAAGGTAAAATGCATGAGTTGAGTCACAAAATACATGAAACGAAAATTGTAATCTTGCTTTGTTCACAATATATGGTGAATTCTTAATGTAAGTTCCACTGTATAGTTTATTGTTTTATGTGGATATTAGAGGTAAAGACAGATCACTCTACCACAGTGATTTCTTCAGCAACACTTGATTATGATGCCGGACTTCAGCCACCTGAAGTTGCTGATGTATCTACTAACATTTTTTTAAATTGCTGATACTAAGTATGATGAAAAATTGAGGAAGCCAGAATAGCAGCAGTTATTTGGAAGTCATATCCCTTAATGCTGAGAGAAAGATTTTGTCTTTGACAGGACAAAGATCACGCTAAAGAGGATCAGAATTCAGAAACTGACAAAGATGTTGACAACAGAGATACACAAAGGACAGATGAAGTCAAACTTCAGCAGAATGGAAACTGTCAACCAAACGAAGATAACCTCTCAATTAAAATGGAAGAGGTTTAAAGCAAGGAATCAACCTCTGTCTCAACTTAGGAATGAAATCCAAAGCTTATTCCCAGAATGAGGAAGAAAACGTCAAAGCAATCAACCTGACCATGTTGATAGCACTAACAGCTCTTTCAATTCTTGTGATAGCTTTGTTGTCTTCTTGTTGTAAAGCAGGAAAGCACAGACCAGTAGTTATACCATGCAAAAGCATATGTCATCAGAGCTATTCATCTCTGAAACTCCATGCATTTCCATGATGGCTGTACTTATAGGTAAAATGATTTATGTTAAGTTTAGCCATAGGCTGCTAAATAGGAACTGAAAGAAGTAAACCTTTACTACCCCTAAAAAAAAAAAAAAAGAAAAAAAAAAAAAAAAAAGCTGAAGATAAACATTGAAAGTTGTTTTAAAATGTTGCTTGTTGATGAATTTTGTGTTATTTTACTTTGTGGGTTAAGAAGTCCACAGAAACTTCAGTGTGTACTTTTTTATGTGCTTGGAAGTGGTGCATAAATGTACACACTTTCTTTTGGTGTAAATGACAGCTGTTGGAAAAGTTTTTATGGTTCTTATGATATATGCCCAATGACTAGTATGTTCTTCATTTGCTCACTGCTTGAGGTTTGTGGGTTTTATTATCTAAAATAATTTCTTACCAATATCCCTGAACTCAGTATTTGCTTAAAGTATTTGAACAATGCATGCTACTTTTCTGTTCCTAAAAGGAACATTGCCATGTATGATGATAACAGGTTAGCTTATTGAGTTATTTTCAGGTTGTTTTGTTTTGTTGTTCTCTTCTGTTCCACAACTGAGCACATCTGTATATTAGGAGAACTTAACAGCTTTGTTTTTTTGACATGTACTGCAGTATGTCTGTTCAGCTGCAAATGGTACAGGTGCCATTATGAAATTAAATTTTTTCTTGTTTAAAAAATTCGAGAGCACAAGCATAAGCTTTAGTGCCTTCTTAAAATGTGGTATTTTCAAGAAATATGTATGTGCTATAACATTTTCAGCTAAATCTTGCATCATCTCTATTGCTGTTTTGCCACTACCATACTACAGACAAGAGTGCAAGTAATTTTTCAGAATGGATGTTTAGTTCACTTATTTAAGTAGAACAGGTCCATTTTTACAATTATTTTTTATTTTCAGAAAAGATAGAGTAAATGTAATGATGCATTTTGGGGACCATCACTGTACAAAGATAGTAGCTGAATACAGCGTATTTTCTGAACACCTGCATCACAGGCAGCCCTTAAGATACTAATTACATTTGGATGGCCTTAACAGTTACCTCTCCATCCTTTTCTCTGATATCCATCAGGTGTTGTACAATGAATTTAATGCAGAGCTGGGGGTGGAAAATACTTGGGGAAGAAATGTTCTAATTTACATAGGAGTTATATGTTAGATAATCTTTTTTCATTCTTTGGTGAGAAAGCATGTAAGAAGCAAATGACAAAGCCGGTATTTTTTTCAAGTAAAACCATAATTTGTGCTTTCTGAGCTAATGTAACCAGTTTCATTGTTGTGAGATTTTTTAAGAGTCGTATTTACAAACTTACTTATACCTAAAATCAGGTAGATTATACACCTTATTACAATCAAATGAATTAATTGCCTTACCTCATGGAAGGAGTTTCATTCAGTTAGAAATTAAAAAAGGCTTAATAGGATACTAGCAGTTTGCCTTCAATTTCCTTTTCTTTTGCATAGTTAATTCTTATGAAAATAATTTTTAAAAAGCATAATACAGGGAACGAAAAATGTGTCCAATTCCTAAGGTAATGAAACCTAATTTGATTGTGAAGCTGCTTAATCACTTGTCATTTTTGATAGGATTTAGTGTTCTTCCCACTGTGTACATTTAAGACTATAGAAAATGCTTTACCATGTAAAGTATAGACAGTCATTTTTGTGATGTTTAAGCCACGTGCTGATGGTTGGTTAACAGCTTACTCTGATAAAAGAATGACAAATCTGTACGCTTAAAGGAAGGTTGTGAAGGATTGTGTCTTGCAGCAACAGCTGTCTTATTTATGATGTGTAAGTAGAGTAGAGCAAAGAGGTTGTTTGTGTACTTGTTATCTTTGTTACCATTTCACTAATAAAATTAAGTATTTTAGAGGGAAGTTTCTGCTGTTACAAACTTATTAAAGAAACATTTTGGTTGGTCATCAGGTTTTATTCAGGCAGCTTTTTTTTTAATTTGAAATGTGGATGCAAGTTAAAATACACCTGTATTATTTATAATATCTTGGAAAAGATAATTTACTCCTTCTCTGGGAGAAATTAAAGTGTACATAGTACATCATATTTCAGTTCATCTTAGTTTGATTTTCTTAGTTTTGTAATCCTGAATTCGCATAGTTCAGAATGTGTACATGGTTGTGCACAATTAGTGAAGAAAAATGACGTGGAAAATTCATAGGTAACAATGGCAGCATTAATAGCTAATATATCATATATATGCAGCATACTAAGATAGATTTTATGTGAGTTAATATTCCCTTTTAAAAAAGCTTTGAGAAGGGAGGGGAAAAAAAAGAATATACACCAAATACACACATTTCCTCCTCCCAAACTGTGTTTTCTTACAAATACTGTATTTTCTGTTCTGCCTTGTAGTACTTTGTAGTTCTGTGAGGATAGTTTTATCTCTTTGTATTAGGTGTTTAATGGTTCTCTTCTTTGTTTAAAAAAAAGAAAAAAAAGAAAAAAAAAAAAGCCACCATTGGATGATTAATGTTTTGTAAAACACCCATCACCACAGAGGGCAGATCACTTTTAAACCAGTACTGGAACAGTACCTCCTTGCTCTGCCACGTTTGTGTGTTTGACCCATTAAGTGTGTGTGTCTTCTAGTGGAAGTCCATGCCTTGATCGTATTGGATTTGCATGCTGAGCTGCTGTGTCAGTAGTTTGCTTTTGCACTTCTATGAGTTGATAAAACTAAATGATGGTTTTGAGAACAGTGTAGTTTGTGGTAGCTGTATTGTTTTAGGTGTAATTTCATTTAACTTGGCCTTTGGATTCTGCCTACACATTAGTTGCCTGGTTTTTTTTGTTGTTGTTGGTTTTTTTTTGTTGTTTTTTTTTTTTAATGTCAATTTCAGATAGGTACAACCGAATTAGCTTTAGTTAACCAGCTGGCTAACAGCATCAACCTAGGCACAGCGTGGTTTATGTGATGAGTTGACCATTTGAGTGGCTTACTGGTTTACTCCTCTGCTGAAGTAAATTCTACAGTCTGTATCATGCTCTGTGTTGCTTGCAATTTGTTTGCTGGTGTTTTCCAGCCTAGGTATGTGTAAGGCAATAAATTTAATTTTGAATTCTGCTGATCTGTTTGCTAATGGTAGCTTCTCTGGTTTGCCTTCAGTTTGTAATAATTATATTTAGGAATTTCTGTGATACTCTTTTGGTCTAATCAAGAGGTAAAAAAAGTAAAGGCTGCCTTGTATGACAAATTCTTACATGCTGCATACAAGTTTCTGTTACTATTTTCAGTTACTCTTTTTAACATTATAATCACTGAAAGCAGTAATGCCCTAGTGGTATGTATATTCTTTACTCTTAAAACTGAAGCATCTCTGTATCACTCTCTTTTTGTAAGTTTGTAATGAAACACGCATTTCAATTTTGCAAGCCATTCACTTAAAGGAAAAAATAAAAGACAAATCATCTTGTTTCAGTGTGAAAGTGGAATTCTGAGAGTAAAACAATTTCTAAGTACGTAAGTTCAGCACAGTGAAGTATACTGCAAATTGGGGCATGTAATGCCTCCAGTTTGACACATGATGATACTTCAGGTTTTGTGTAAATGAATGAATTACTGTTTTTGGTGTTGTCATTATTTTAAAAGCAAGGTTTGGATGTAGTGACACAAATACTGAGAGCTGTAAGTGACTAAACTAATGTAAACCTGTAGATGATTAGTTCAGAGAGGTCTAGTTTTCTCACCAGCAGATAGAGTGTGGATAGGTGAAATTCATAGATATTCTTAATGTTATTACAACCTGAAATTTGATTTTGTTTGCTAATGTCTAAACAGGAAACTTTCCAGCCTGTATGTGAAGTTTATTTTTTATATGGTGAAAAGTGTAATTAAAGTAATACTGAAAGCATTGTATAAAAGGGATTTCTTTTGCCTAATGTCAGATAAATTCAGTTGTGTTTAATTTTAAACTCCTTGACAATGTCTCTGTATGTAGTATTTATTTTCATTTAAGATTCAGGAATGCTTCATGTATAGGTGAGCCACATCATGGGATCTGAGCACATTAGTCTGGATTTTTCTCAGTAATCGCTTCAGTGTAAAACAGCTTGAGGCAGTTGTCTGATGATACATCCGTGCAGCTCCTTTGCCCATGTCTGAGAGCAGTTCTCTTAAGGCTTCAGTTCTGTACTTTTTGAGTAAATTAAGCCATTTAGGATCTATTTATGAATTCCAGTTTTCAAGATGTTTTCAGAAACCAAGAACTCTATTATCAAGAAGGCCTAAGAAAAATTTGTTGTAGCTGTTTTACAATTTTTGAGATTAGTACAGGAGTTCACTGAAGTAAAAATGAGATTTAGCTGTTTATTTTCTTGTGGAGAGCTGCAGTTTACACATTTGGATTCACAGCATTATTTTATTTTATTTTTTTTTACTATAAGATAAACAAGTGCCAAACTTGATGAAAGGCTTAAGATTGGAGTACAAAATATGTTCTGTACTAACTGGGCAAAGGAGATTTTCTCACATAGAGGTTATCTGTCTTTCTTGGTCAGAAAGACTTTTTATCAGCAGTGGAAAAAGTCATTTGTTCTTACTGTCATTCAGTCCTTGATGTTCTTAGCTGAGTTAAGTAGCTCTTATAATGCAGATATTAGTGTGCTAGGTAGCAAACTGTAACTATTCCTAAAGGATATTTTAATCTAATGACTATAGTAGTATTTTAGTTTTGAACTATTGAGAAGGTTAATACATTGATATAATAACTCAGATCTGCTTCAGCAGATCTGTTATTTACAGTAGAATTATGCAAATGTACTTTTTGTGTTCTTTGATAGTTAAATGTCAAATATATTTAGGGAGTGATAAGGGGATAAAGGTAATGACAGGAAGCAAGCAGATTTCTTAGAAGAGTAAGTTGCTGTACTAAGTAAAACTTTTAGCACAAAGATTTAAAACTGCTGCTACAGTGACGGGTACATCATGGTCTACTTAGAAGCTAGTGCTTCATATATACATAAATTTCATAATAATTTGATTAAAGGAGTGAGTGATCTGCTCTAGGAACATCAGGAGAGGAATTTAACTTGCAGAGTTAATGTAGCTTATCAGTAGATCATTTCTGGTGTTTTTCTCAGTGATACAGGAGCCATGGTAAGTTTGTTCTACACAGCATGAATCACAACCTGTGCTCAAATGTGCCTGGGTATCCTGTACACTACAGCAGCAAAAATATTACTGCCCCTCCTCTAAATCAGATGTTTTGTTAGTAAAGGAGGCCTTTTAAGTTTAATAAATGTATATCCAAGCTTGTTCCGTGTTAGTAGAATATATTTTTGCATTATTGAAGCAACTATGAAATGGTACTAGTAAAGAAATGTCAACTGCTGCTATTACGTTGTTATTTTTGTGAATAAACTATGTCCCAAAGCATTATTGGTGTCATAGCTCACTTTTACTAAGTACAGAGAGATATACCAAATGGCTGTGAAGCAGTTCTGTCTTCTGTTTGATTTATTTATTTATTATGTCTACATCTGGACCCAGAGACTTTAGCTCTTGGTTGGATTGAAATTGGCAAGAATATTTACTGCAGGAATGGTGGTGAGAGGCTAAGGCCTTTCTGGAATCCCAGCCCCCCCAAGGAGCAATGTTTTTTCTTCCCCACAGGAAACTGCCCAAGCAGGCAGAGTTTGTCATTTTTAAACAAATGATTAGTTGATAAACGTGGATGTACAGAAGTATACATCAAAATTTGTTTAATTATGTAGAGTTAGGGTTTCACAGGATATTTTAGTATGAACAGTATATGATAATTTGCTGTCACGGATATTTTCATACTAAAATCCACTGTTCTCAGTGCTAAAGCTTCTCTATCAAGATATAATTTGTATGGACGTGCTTCTCAGTGCATTTTAAACTTCTACTTGTTCAATAGGGATCTTGTAATTTTGAGTTACCATGTTTGTAACGAATCGTGTGGCTGGTTCAGCTCTGTCTGATCAGGTGGTGTCATCAGCTGCACTTCATCATGTTTCTCCTTTGAATGAAAATGGGAAAAAACACGTTGAGATGGCTCAGCAGTGGCTCAAAATTCTCTGTTTATTTCATCATTTCCCAAAATAATTTATTCACTGAAACAAACAAAACAAAATCAACATCATTTTTAGAGGAGAACATTGAAAATTAAGTGAAAAAGGGACAGTGCACTTGTTTTAACTGCAGGGAATGGTGGTAGCAGTACATTGTTTTGAAAATGCTGTCCTTTGTTACTGCAAACATATGCTGGTCCTTAGTCATGAGAGAGAAATATCCAGGAAGGTTCAAGCTCCTTAAGGCTTTTTGAGAGAATTACAGTGGTGAAACAGAAATTTTGAAGCAGGAGTATATACTGAAATTAGAAAAATAAGTGATAGTGTGTGAAGAATATCTAGAAGTTACACTGTGTTTCACTGCAGCAAAAAATTGAGTGCTGCAGCACTCACTGGAGTATGGCAGTAACTCACTACATGATAGAGGTGGGGCTTCCCACAAACCTACAAACAACACAAACTTACTTACAACCCACTAAAAACAAACACACGAAGGAACATCTCCCTGCTGTTTACTGCCATGTTGTTCCTTCTCTAATACTCCAACACAGTAGCAATCTGTTAGAAGGTGATAAGCTGCATATGGGTTACAGAGCCTTTTAGCTGTGCCTGAAATAGCTTTGCTTTGACTCTGAAGACATGTACATTTGTTACCTAGTGCCTTGAGCCAAAACCAGGGGACTGAGGCAGATCAATGCTGAAGGCTTGCATTTTGATTGCTCGCAGCTAATTGGCTGATTAGATCTATTTTATTTATTTATTTATTTATCTGTCAGTGAGGGGGAGGATAAATTCAAATGCTTGGGAGCAGGAAGATGCTTTTACATAAGCTATATTAATAGAAGTCTTACAAATCTAAACTATGTAGTCCTTAGTCTATGGGTGCCATACCAACATGCCAAAGAGATAGGAACTGTAAGGTTGGATGGCTGATGTGCCTCTGGGCAGAGGACAATGGTGCCAACGTGACAGCACCACCCGTTCACGCCCAAAAGATACTGGAACTGCTGGAAGGACAGTCTATGCAAGCATAGGCCCAGAAGGAAAATACATAGCCTGCATGAACATGAGTGCTAGAAGCAGCACAGTCTTTTGCCATCTGTTCTGGTCAACATGTTCTCTGCATCCAAACCTCCCCTTGCATTCCTTGAAGCTGGTATTAACTAAGCCAACAAGCAAAACACTGCTGTTACAAAGGGTGCTGTCCTCAGAAGATGAGGTTGTATTCTGTTAGGCCTGTAACGGGCTCTCTATAGTTACTTCTTGATCTGTAGGATGAACTCATCTTTTCGTCGTATCTAGACAGCATAAACTGAGTCACAGTATTACAAACAAAAGTAAACTGACAGTTTGCCAGTGAAATACTTGTTTTTAACGTAAGCATCACTGCAATCAAGAAACTAAATACGAAAGTATGGAAACAGGAGAGACTCTGATGCTTGAAGAAATGTATGAAATTTCTTTCTATGAATGTCATCAAACCAATTGTATCATGGGGTTTACAAGTGCACACAGAGATGGTCCAGGTGTGGTGAATTTAAGTCTGCTACCATATCTTACATTTGCTTATTTCTCTTAGGCAAACTCCTGAGAATCTTCTTCTCAGAGTTGGACACTAAAAAAAGGTTGAATAGAAGGGTCACATAGCTTTAAACTGGTGTTGCAGAAAGGACTTGTATGCTTTTCTTTTACTGATGTCCCCAGACTTTCTATCTTATACATACATACACACTAGCAATATTAATTTATGTTGAGCTAAAGTATTCTGTAGTTTTATCATTTTTTTCCCCCAAAAAATGCTCTAGAGCATGGGTGTCCAACCTTTTGGCTTGTGTGGGCGACACTAATTGAGGAGGAATTGTCAGGGTCACATCTATGAAGGTTGCTCTGAAAGTAATGCCTCCTAATTATTTCCACGAGAACTACAGTAGATATAAAAAACACAGTAACACTATTTAACAGAGCAAATTTGCAGCTACAATTTTTCAACAGCCATCACCATGAACTGTGCATTTTCACCAGTGATGAACAAGAACCAGCATGCCATGCTTATAATAAACAGCAGAGGTGATCCAGTGTTGCCACTGCTGGAACACACTACCCACCAGCTCACTGTGCCCACATTCAGTGTTGGACCTCAATAATGTTCACTAGTTCATGAAAGTCAGTGGGTGCCTTCTTTTTTTCTTTTGCCTGGAGGAATTTGTTGACACACCTTTGCTCCATCCACACTTCTGTGTCAGACACCATTCTGTCAGAGTGCCCCTCTGCTGCCATCTGTCACACAACAACAAAACATAATAGAATACTGTTGGGAAGGTTCAACCTATATTGCCGTACCAACAGCATCTGCCTCTGACATCGTGGGCTGACAATAAAACAAGAGGCATTGCTTTCTGAGCAGCCTTCATAAAATACAGAATACAGTGAGTGCGTATAAGTAACAAAACTTAATGTTTATTGTTGCTGTTGTTAAAACATATTTAAAGAAGCAACAAAGCCATAAAACTAGTCGGACGTGACCGTTTTTGTGCAACGAACGGCTCACCCTGGTGCCACGGCAATGGCCGCAGTTCTTAGTGAGGTCTCAGGGCGTTCCTAGAAGATTTGTGATGAAGTTTCACTCTTCCCGTGCTTCATCCCGAAAACAGTTGTTCCCAAACGCAGGTGCCGCCAAAACGCGGTGAGACGAACGCGGCGTGACCGCGAAGCGGGGCCGTTTCTCTGCTACCAGAGGGCTTACAGAAGTCACGTTTTTACCGCACCGCCGTGCCTTCCGTCTGAAAGCTCACGTGCTTATGTAAACTGAGAACCGATTCGCAAACAAACCAAGGAACCGATGACTTTTTCGGCAACCTTGAAAGGCATCCTCAAATTCCCGCATCAAAACGGAACCAGCAGCCGCGTCGTCTTCGTTGCGCGGTCAGCCAACGCACCGCAGCGCACGCGCCCGCCCCGCGCCGGGAGCGGCGCTGCGTGAAGGGACGGCAGAGGGGTGGCTGCGCGCGCGGGGCCGGGCGGGGCGGCTGGGCGGGCGGAGGCGCCGCCATGATGGCGCGGGGCGGGTGCGGCTGCGGGTGGCTCTGGGTGGACGCCTGAACACCTAACCTGTGACCCAGCGTAACTGGAGAAACAGATTATGTGTTCAGTGTGCTATTGCTGTTTAGACGCGAGGAACCAGGACGTGCGGTGTTGGGAAGTTACAATAACGTCTGTACCTGGGTAAATATCTAGGTATGTCTTATAGACATTGATAGTTACTTCTTCCTTAACACAGCTGTGACAGAACCTAAAGCATATTGACATATTATATACATACGTATGTTTTATGTCACATCTGTTCTTATCAACTTCAGTTGATCTGACTTAGCAGAGGTTAATTGCAGTTCACTTTCTAATTCATTGCTGTGTTCCTCAAGAGCAGGCTTATAGGAAGTTGATGTTAGACCTGCAAATGGAAAGGTCACTGATCTTCCAGAACTATTACCTCAAGGAGCTGTTTCTAAGAGACATCGTTTGAAGTCAAGATCGGGTGCAGATACCTAGTTTTTAAAGAAGTAAACCTACACCTGTTTCAGTCCAGGTCTGAGCCTTCAAGTAACTGCATGCCCCTTAGTTTCCACTGGTCCACGGCAGGCATGTTAAATTAGCTTTCAAAAACTGCCGGCGTGCAGGCACTCTCTGGAAGGGCTTAGCACTTGGCTTGACTATAGCCCTCAAAAGTCACAGCAAACACCTTCCTTTCAAGATAAAATTTAACAGGCTATGCCCTGTTATAAAGCTATATTTGCCTTGTTGTTAACTTTTTTGTTAATAACACCTCTACAGTTAATAATGTATCATCTCAGCAGTTGTATGGAATGTGTAACTGTACATCTTCCTTTTGGAAGCCCTATTGGCTATCTGCAACCTGGTCTTCCCAGTAGGACAGATACAGGCATACTTCTGCAGCTTATCTCATTGTTCACTGTTTATCTAAATGGCATGGCAGTGTGAATTTTGGTCTACAGAATAAAAAAAACCTCTGTCTTGACTGTCTGTCATTTCAGAAATGTTGATCTTAAGAGAGGAAATTAGGATTATGTAAACTGTAGGAGATTTGCAGAACTATTAATAGAATAGGAGGAGAGGACTCACTGGTGTTGTTTGTTGCAGTATTAGTTTTGCAGAGACTAAGCCTCACTTCTGCCGTCCTGCTGTCTTACAAGCTGAAGGTTCATAAAAAGAAAACTTTTAAAGTTCTTTGAATTTTCATCTTCCACTTCTAATATAGGCTGTGTACTTTCAGTGTTTAATGTCTGTTTTGCTACTTTTTATTCTGCTTACTTGCAGCTTTTTTTTTGCTCTTTCAAGTTGTGCATCTTCCTTGATTAACTGCAAAAGATATCTGGCTTGCCTAATGTCACATTTTATAACATTGAAAAAATGTCTTTCATGAAGTAGATGATCCAACTGTAGTAAAAACGTATACATTTTATTTTAATACGTATTTATCTGCTGAATTTCTGATCAGTTTGAGACTCCTCCTTTTTTCTTAGTATTCCGTTACTTATAAATGTTGCACCAGAAAGGGATGCTTATGTGGCAGTAACCTTCCTAAGAATTGATGTTCCTATATTTCTAACTTAGAAATTCTCACAATTCAGCAAACTAAAAAGCTAATTTTTTGGTCAGACTAGAATCTGAAGTTCTGTGGGACATTGATAGTGGTAGTACAAGTGTGAATGTTTTTAAACTGAGGCAGAGGAGGTTTAAGTAAAGTAAAAATTTCGTGCTGCATGATATGGTTTAGTAGCTTGTGTTGGCAATGGTGATGAGGAGACGGTTAGACTAGATGATCTTAGAGGTCATTTCCAACCTTGTGATTCTATGATTCTATGATTAGGAGGACATTTTTCACTCAGAGGGTGGTGACGCACTGGAACAGGTTGCCCAAGGAGGTTGTGGATGCCCCATCCCTGGAGGCATTCAAGGCCAGGCTGGATGTGGCTCTGGGCAGACGGCAGACTGTCCTAGTGGTTGGTGACCCTGCACACAGCAGGGGGATGAAACTAGATGATCATTGTGGTCCTTTTCAACCCAGGCCACTGTGTGATTCTATGATTCTACGATAAATTGATAAATTTGATATTGATAAATGCTGGCATTAACTTTGAATTTGTGGTTTTCAATTAAAAACCAAAGGCAATTCACCACTGAGAGAGCAAGTGCTATCAAGTAAATAAAGCAGTTATTCAAGCTGGTCTGAATCAAGGTAGTTATCTCTCTCAATGTTTATTTAAAACAAAATAATTACTTTGTGGTAATTGAAATGGAAGTCCTTAATGGTCTGCATTGTCCTGGACTGACTCCAGTAATTCTAGTTACATCTCCAGTGTCCTGATGACTTACAAGAGGACAGAGATGCTGAGCTATCCCACGGTACAAAAGATACTCTGAGATCTCTTTAATTGACTGGCACATTAAGCAGCTCCTGTGGTATATCTCTTGCCATTTGAGGCCTGTTCTGGTATACTATTTATTTGAGATGACCATGTCTGGTTCAAAATTATATCTGGCTGTTTACATCTCATCATTTTCCAGTGATTGGAACAGATGGGCCTTCAGTGGGCCTTCATGGCCTTCGCTTATTCCTGCTACAGTACAATTTTAGTTCTAGTATGTAGGGACTACTTTTTTTTTCTAGCAACTTGCATGTGCCAGTGATGTGACAGATGGCATAGGACTGCATGTGTCTATTACTTAATCTTCTTGCCCTCCAAAAAGAGTGCCTCTGTGCAAACTGCCGTGTGGAAACAGACTTTCTTCTGTTTTTCAGATAGTGACTGGAATTTTAGGGGGAGAACATTAGCTGAATTGGCCACAAATTCTACTGAAGAAACAGACTATGAAGCTTGCATGGCAGGGAGTATTTACAGGCACTGCTCATAGCACAGCTGCAGTCTCACAAGTCAGCACTTCAAACTACTCGTGTCTTGCTGCCACTTGCTCTTGTCTGTGAAATTATTTTTGGAAGTCACTGTATGTCCTGAAGAATGGGAAGTGTCCAGAATGTGGCACATCCTCTGTATTTAGTGATTACTCAGTGAAATAATCTTGGATTTCTTCTCAAGTTTTCGGAGTTGTAAAACATGAAATTACCTGATTTTTGTCAGAACATCCCAGTCCTCCAAGGTCAAAATTACTCTTCAATTTATGACCACATCTGGCTAGCTATTTTAGTCTTTCAGTGTGATGGCCCACCAAACACGTAGCTGCAGGTATCATAGCAGATACCTCCTATGAATCACTAGAAATCTTCCAGCAACCATGTATTTTAAATGAATGCAGGAATTTAACATCCACTTAACAAGAAATGGTGAATGTTGCTGTTTGCTGTGTACCTTGACTTGAACTGCGATGAGCAAAGTTTAACATTGGCAGTTACTGTTTGTTAAAGACCAAGCTTTGGGTTCTGCAATCCATTTCCATTCTAACCATGTACCAAAAATGGGCTTCAACCTGCAGCTAAGTAGTGTATCTTCTATTCTCCAGCCTACCAAGACTTCAGTATGTCCAGTAAATACCTGAAACTGTTCCACTGCAAGTTCCCTAGCCTGTAATGGCTATTCCTGTGCCCATTCTTCCTTAAGATTTTTTTATTACCACTTCAGCAAATTCCTTAATTTCCTCCTGTAAAATTTCTGCCCTTCTCTGAGAACTATCATAGTTTAACCCAGCAGCAGCTCAGCACTACACAGGTGTTTACTTAGTAACCTGCAGTAGGATGAGGGAGAGAATGCTAAGCAAAATAGAACTCATGGGTTGAGATAAAAACTATTTGCTAAGGCAGAAAAGGAAAATAGAAATAAACATGTGATTATAACTGTTAATTATATATGTATTATTTTATTATATAAATATATATATTTATTTAGGGACATGGTTTAGTGGGCAATATTGGTGGCAGGTAGATGGTTGAACTAGGTGATCTTACAGGTCTTTTCCAACCTTAATGACTCTATGATTCTATTATATGTATATATATATGTATATGCCTCCACAGTGCAGTCACTCACCACTTGCTAACCAGCACCCATTTCAGAGAACAGCAGCCTGCCTGATATCTATGCAGTATCTCACCACCCTCACTCACCACTGACCAATGCCCAGCCAACCCCCAAGCAGCAACCACTCCTGGCCACCTCCCCTTGGCTTTCTGCACGATGTCACATGATATGGAATACCCTGTGCCAAACTCAGGCCCCTTTCCTCTGCCCCACCCTCTGCCCCCACGCCATCATGGCGGTGACTCTTCTCAGCAATAACCCAAGCACTGCTGTGCTTTTAATGCTGTCTCAGCCGAAACTAGGACAGGATGGGTGATGTGAATGACAGTTTCTAGAACAGCAGGTTGTTTTCAGTTTTATCAGTCAAACTGGTGCTTCTGCTGTAGAAACAAAATAGACAGCAACTGTGTAATTTGTGCTAGGGGCAAGCTATGTTCAGAAGTGACTGACGCAAACCTCAGACTCAAAGTCCTTAGTTTTATTACCTACTGTCCTACAGAGCTCAACAGTACAGTGACTAAAACACAGTTAACATAATCCAAGCAGTGCAAACTCAGTTCTTTAAGGAAAAAAAATCATTGTGCAAGAAGAAAATAAGTAAACCAAAACCCTGCAACACGTATCCCAAAGCTCAAAGCTCTGAGACAAGTATCTTGTAATTGGAAGGCTTTAATTAAATGATTTGTTACTTTACAATTTTTATAGCAGTAGCTGGAGTTGATTCAAGTCGATGGGCTTCTCCTGTACTTTGCCTTCAGAGGACTGTTCAAGTGCAGATGCCCTTGTGCTGTAAGGTGGCTTTTAAGATTGTCAGAGTACTGACAAAGCTTTGGTTTTTAGCAAATTTATAACATTTGGTGGTTCCTATTATTCTATTTGACAGTTAATACAGAGGGGAAAAAAAAAACGCTCTGGAATATTGTGATTGCTGCAATCTGCTGTTCCAGGCTGAGTGACTTTATTTCCCATATCTGAAAAACACTGTCATGTTTTTGAGTGCTGTCTAGTTACTGCTCTGATCTACCCTCAAGTGTAAAAAATGTGTAAAAATGTATCTCTGTGTTCATTCTATTCATACATTAAAGTACGCAAGAAAAAATTGATTTACTCTCATTACCAGAAAAAACCAGCATATTGACTTTGCTGTTTTCAGGTGCTAATTGACTCACTACTATTACTGTACTCTTTTTAGTCACTGCTGACTCAGTAATGTGCCATGACTTGGCATCCACAGATCTCTTTTTCTGTTACCTAGCTTTTGAGACACTTTAGAAATGTGAGAAAAACTGGGAAATGTGAGAACGAGAAGAACTTATGTTCAAGAATGTAAATGTCAAAGCAATTTTGTTTTTCACCTTCGTCACTCTTTTTCTGCGCATCACGAATTGCACAGCTGGCAGTAAAGCAGTTATTTAGCCATAGGCTTTATCTAGGCTCTATGCATATCTTACCCACTTAAAAGGTGTCACATAGCCAGATGGTACCCTTTGTTACATCAACACTGTGAGAATTCACTTACCTCCAGCATTCACAATTTTTTCTTCTATTTTGTTATTGTCCTATACTTGGATGCTGGTTTTTTTTTAAACCTTCTACTTGTGCTCAATACACAGGCCATGTTAGAGAATAGATATTACATTCATTTCTCTGTAAATAAGAAATACTAGATCCTTGTAACCCTGCAGTATCTTATCCCATGCTATAAATCACTGTGCCTGTGTGCCATCCAGGCCTGCAGTCAAGTGTTTAAGCTTTTATAATGTCTAAACTCTCACTAATGCCAACTCTGGTCATCTGGAGGAATTTCTGTATGCTGCCTAAAAAACCCCAAGATATATTCAAAATACATTGGCGTTTATGGCCTTGAGCCCCCGTGTTTGCAATTGCACTTTTCATGTAACACATCTTGACAATAAAGAGCATATAACTGCAACCAACTGAACTGAAGTTAAGAGTATAACCAGCTGAAACCACTTGAACACAGTATTCTAAATAAAATGAAATATCTTGCATGTATGTTACTAGAGGCAGTATTCTGCAGGGTTTTTTACATCTCTATATGCACTTGTATTTTTAGACAGCTACCCCTAATCTGAAGACACAACACTCCGTGCCTCCTAGTCCACGTCCCTTTTTGTCTGGGTAAGACTGTTTAGCAAGTATACTCTTCAAATGGTCTCCACATAGAAGAGTCTTTTCTTTTCACTTAGAGATGTCAGTCTAGGGAACATCCAGTGCTTAGAAATTGATAAACTTCTTTCTTCATGAAATAATCTTAATAAAATGCTCCACAGAATAGAAAAGACAGTAATAAACTTCTACAATAACTGCAAACCATTAATGCCTATGGAATTTTTGGGTGAGAGAGAGGTCCCTCTAAGCAGTTCAGACTCAGTGCGTTGTGGAGATACATGATGCAGTCACATAGATATCATACAGAGGAGCTCATATATTTCAATGGCATCTTCTCTATGCAAAGCTTGGGGAGTGACTAAATGAACTAGCTATTCAGCTCATTAATTTTATTCCACAGTTTTTGTTATTGTATACAAGGTGAAATAGTATCTGCAACCTCATCACACACAAGAATATAAATGGATTTCTGTCTGTGTAGATAAACATAAGAAGAAATAGCCTTAATGCAAGTAAAACTTTGGTAATAATAACACTTGTTATCATCTTTTCTTCATCAGGATTATTCATCAAAGTTCCATAGATGGATAAGCATCATTTTCTATTCCTAAATTCAAGGCGTCCCACTATTTTGTTCATTCAACTAACTAGAGAGCTTTGTCCTGTTAGGTGGTTTTTGTAGGATTTTTACTGAAGAACATTATTGTTATATCTGAAAACCAGATCTTACACTGCTAGTACTAAGTAGCAAGCTTTTCTGATGACTAGAAATTGTTGTTTTTAGACTAGACGACTAGAAATAGTTTTCCTCAGACCAAGGGATCTGAGGAAGGATGCCCACTGAACTAGAGCACAGTTCTCATCACAAAGTCACTGTCTTATATGCTCTTAATGCCCTCCATTCATGAACCTGAGGTTTTGAAAGCTGAATTTTTCAAGATTCCTCAGTTCAAATCGACTTTTGCCACCGAAGTTGGTCTAGGTGGCAAAAATACTACCTGGCTTTGTTTGAGGTAGTCCTGGGGAGCAAACAAAACTTGATGTTCATTTTGTGTTGGCTTACTACTTAGTTCCATTTCCAGGTGAGGATGAGCAGGTCTTGCAGGCAGCTTCACTGTCAGACTTATCAGAGCTTTCTGGCTGCACTCCATGCTGGTATAGTCACTCAAGAGGGGTACCGTAAAGGAAATTATTCCATCTTTTTCATTTGTAATTGTTTTTTCAGGGATTTCTTTATGTATTATATTTATGCCTATATTATTGCTAGGTTCTTCTGACTCTCTGATGTCATGCTTGCTGTCTTCTCTGCCATCTGTAAAGTGCTCTAACTTCAAAGATGCCTTTTCCTCGTGCTCTATGACATGAAGGCTGGTGGTATCATTGTCTGGCAGGGTTTGAAGCAGTGATTTTGAAATGGGTTTCCAGTTGCTCTGCAAGGAAAGACAAGAAGAAATTGTAACATTGGTATAATACCTTGGCAAAATGAAATTGTCAATATATTGACATAAATGCCAAAAGAACAAAGTTAAGAGTTAACTTCCATGACATGGAAGTCTGTGCCAGCCCTTGCACACAGACATTAATCTTGTTTAGTCCAGCTGTAGGCTCACAACCTTAAATTGTGACAGAAGCCCCATAGCATCTACTCCTCATCAGCCACAGCACTGAACCATGCCCTCATCATATCTCTAGTCTGACTAATGTGTAGGGAGATTGCAGCTCCTACGGGAAAGCAAACTTCTTGGTTGCTATTAAATAAGAAAAGCAAAAGGGCAGATTTCAGGCTTTTTTGTTATACAAAGTAAGAAAAAAATACTTATCCTCATCTAACCTCTTGATTATGAATAGCCTGTCAGCATCTTCATTAACGTCATTGCTAGTTATTTTGCTCTATTGTCTTAGATTTTGACAGTGCTGGGCTGTAGATACTATCTTGAAGCTTCTCTTCTGATCTTTAATTGTACACTTGCCTCTTCCTATGTGAATATGTCATTTTAAGCTCTCCAAACTCTGACTTCAGCTTAGCTTGACAATGACATGCTCTCATCAGCTTAAATCTTAGAAACAAAGAAGTGACATATTTGTATCTCTATCCATCAGGATACATCAAGAAATATGTATTTCACTTGATTTAGGCTTATTTAGGCTAACATTCCCTTGTCCTAAATAGACACAAGTCTGCTTTGCCATAGCTTACAATGTTGGCCTGAGAAACTAGATCTACACGTGCCAAACTAAGTTTAGGTCTGCCAGGAAAATCAAAATTATTTTAAAAGGAAACAGCACAAATTCCTATTCCGAAAACATAATGGTTAGCAGTCTGAGACTTGGGAGGTAAACTGAGTTGTACTAGAGGAAGGACTTTATCAGGTACCAGCAAAAGAGGAGCAGAATCACGTATTCTAGCTATTTTCCAGGCACTTTGTTAGTCCTGAAATTCGAATAGCCTTACCAGAACATACAGGAATTCTGTGGGTAGGGAAGGTTTGAAGGTGCTCTTGAGCTATGTTGCCTCTTGACTAGTAGATGCCTCCTCAGATAGCTACCAGCTGACAAGCTAAAGCCCCAGAATTTCTGCAGAAGGATGCAGGGACAGGGAGGTGAAGACTGGGCTTCAGAAAACACTGTACACATTACCTCTTGTGAATTCCACTTTTGTGGAATTAGACCACAATGTGTTACTTTGTATAACTTGTACTTAGTAATCTGTTCCAGTTGTTGAAAAGGGGCTAGGTATAACTGAACTTGTCCCTCTCAACAACTCCACCCATTCAACATTTTCTTGTTCTTTTAACAGCATTTCATTTAAGTGTGATCTAAAGTGTTTTCAAAGGGAGTCTGAGGACCTTTATTAAGCCAAAAGATGTATACAGCCTCTGCCTAAACAACAACCTTCCCATTTGTGTATTTCTGATACAACCCTAGCTTCCCAACTCTTGGAATGAGACTTATGTTAGGATGAAGTGTGAAAACAGTAATAGCTAGTGATAGTGATTAATAAGCAGGTAAGACTTTTCTAGTACATCGTTTTCACACCGTTGGAATTGTACTTGCCATATCTTGGATTGCACTGCTCTTTCTTGGATTTGGTACACTGGACCAGCATGATATTTTCAACCTGTGAACAAATATCCTAAGTTTATTGACAGGTTAAATAAATGGCATTTCCTGTGCATTTAAATTAACTGCTGTATCTACATCTTATTGGTATTTTCATGACCATCAAAACAAGATGCTCTAAGTGACTATTAAGCATGATGGCAATTAAAAACTCTAGGCCAAACTTGTTAGATTATGTTGAGATGGTGAGTTATTATCTTTGTTTAAGGACAAATTAATTGTGACACAAGCTGGCAATGTTGTGTCTTCCTGTAGTCTTATTATCACATATTCCTAATTCATTATCATTTCCACAAAAATCTCTATATTCTTTGAGGACCTTAGGATGACTTTTGTTTTAGAGAGTATTTTCTCCTTTCTACATAGTTTAGTTTTCCGTAAGGAAAAAAAAAAAAAAAAAGAAAGCTACATTTTTCTTTACAATCACGCATCTGGTCTGGAGAAAGCTCTCCCTGGGATCTGCAATCTGCAATGGAATGTGGAGAGCAACGTGGGTACTATTCTTTTCTCACAGTATGAGTTCAGCCCTTTCTGGAAGGAATTACAGTATCTCACCATTTCATCTGACACAAACATACCATCACTAGTTTGTTTCTGCCATAGCTGTAGTGTAAGTGATAATTTACTCTAAAATGCTGCAAAATCAAAAGCCACTGTTTGTTTCAAAGCTTGATCCTCCCAGAGAGAAGTAGAGCATGGCTCAGAATGATGCCATACTCATCAGTTTCAGGTGGCTGTTTGTCCTCAGCCCTCCCATAGGCTTTTCTTTCCAGCTCCCTTCTTGTTCCTAGGGCTCAAAACCACAAAACTGACAGCAGGTCTCTAAGCAATCTGGTTGTTACCTTCACAGGTACATGCAGGCCTTGGAGCCTGCTCCCTGCACCACTTTTGACAGCTCTGGGGAGAAGAAGCTGCCTTTCATCCCCTGTGAATGGCACAAAGCAAGGGCTGCTTGTGAAGGAGCATCTCTAGAAAGCAGGGACATTGAGCAGCTCTGGCAGAAAGGCCCCACTTTCTCCCTCACTAGTGATCAGGATGAGGTAAGGGTCTTTCTCCTCCTTCCTTTCCAAGAGGACAGGCCATGATGGTGGCACACCATCTCTCCTGTCACCCCAGGTCGCTGTAGAACATCCCTCAGCACTTTCCCTCTGAGCTTCTCCCTGCCAGCAGTTGCTGTCAGAGCTGTACTGTGGGAGCTCTGGGCAATGACTCATATCTACGTGAAAAATGTCAGCACATTTATGAGAAACAGCATGAGGTTATCTAGGCTATCACCTTGCCTCAGCACTGACTTCAGTGTTGTCTGGTCTTAAAGTCAAATCTAGACTTCGTTAGATGTCAAGTACTTCGTTAAGGTAAAGCCTAAGGCTGTAGTTTATCTGATCTCCTCACTGACCGTGTAAAGATAGATTTTGTAACTGGTTAGTCCCTTTTTAAAGGCTTCATATTCATCATCTGGAGCTGGTGCTTTCTAAAGGGAGAAGTAGGGTAGGTGGCATCGTAATAGTGATCAGAATGGTTGTATGCTACTAAGTTTATGAGAAAAGTGTCAGAATCAGTTTGCAAGCCATTTTCTTTCAGTATTAGTATACGGCCCTCACTGCACCTCATATTAATTTGAGGGGAAGACCACTTCCCTCATCCATATCTTGCAGGCACCCTTGTTATTCTCTCTTCTTCCTACTCATCCGTTTCTTCTCATTATTTTCACATGTGAGTAATTTGTACAGTAAAATCTAAATGTGCTTAGAGGAAAATGCTTTGATTGCAGCATTTGTACGTGTACTGGTGGAATTTCCTCCTGCATTTCCATAGGAAAGACATGACCATCAGTTGGGAATGAAAGAATAAACTGATTAAATACACCATTGTTTTCTTATCTGTAGCCCATTTTCTACTGGGATAAATGATTCTAGTTCTTACCAAGGGTATGTGAGACTGGAAGTAATCAGTTAGTTAACTCTATCAAAAGCAAAATGTTATAGGTTTTTGACAAAGTATTTAAATAAGCTTGTTACTGGTTTGTAAATTCTCTCACTGTGTAAATGTATGGGGTGAGCTTTTTTCCTTGTACTTTTAAATTGATTTGCTTTTGATGACCAAAAAAAGGCACAGTGCTATGAAAATCAGAGTTAAATAAAAGGGAGTTATTGTTAATAGCATTAGTCAGTATTCACTTCTTACCTCTTAAGCATCAGAATACATGTCATAGGTGCAAAAACCAGAGCAAACATGCTGAAACAAAGGCCAGTCATTAAACCTTCAAATTCTCCTTTTTCTGATGGGAAGCAACAAAAAGACTGACTCAGACTTGTGCTATCAAGTATACAGAGACGCTTTGATATACTTTAAACATGAGTCAGACTTAACTCATATTCTGGGATTCCTGTTCTGTCCAATTGATGATGTATTGAAATGACTTGAGAGTCCATATTCTAACTAAACCACACGTGAATACAATATATAATTATAAATATTATACATATAATTGAAATATATATATACATATATATAATATATAATACAATGCCTTAGCCTATTGAGGCATCTGTGAAACAAGCAAATTCTTACCAGTGAATGATAGAACATATTAGATAAAAAGGACTCTAGTTATCAGAAAACAGAAGATTTGATCAACAGCCACAGTAGAAAGACTGACTTTCTTTTTGCAAAAAAAGAACGTTTTGGCTGAGGTATCTAACTGCAAACCAGCTTTATGAGATCAGGATTTTGCCAAGAACAAAGACAACTGAACTTCGTAAGTCAAAGCCGGATTATTCCGACTACTGAAACCTGTGATAAGAGTTTGCAATAAATAAAGATAAGTTAATATAATTAACATGAAAACAATCACAGAATGTTATGAAGATGAGGTACCCTAGTTAAATCTTCTCTGCATGTTAGGTAAAGAAATATAGGCAGAGTTTCATGATACACAGTTCCTCAGTAGCAACTGAACGATTTTGCCTTTGTTATCAGTAAACCAAGAACTGAATAATAAATCCTGTGCATGAGCACTTTGTTATTCCTTGAAAAGCAGGGAAAAGAGAAAGGGTGTAGAATAATACTTTGTGTAATGGCATATAAAGCCAAGATTGCTGCTGGGCAACACAGTAGCATGCAGATTCCACAGTACCATATTTTAGAGTACTGAATTGTGGTGAAAAAGATGGTGATCCTTCTCCAGCTTTAGTGAATCCTGAAATCTCTACACGGTAGATGGTCTTTTCCTTAAGTCCAGTAAGATGGTAACTTGTAGTAGAAGAGTTGATGCTAGCAGCTGAAAACACAAGAGTGGTTAGAGAATGGGGCAGTGAGATGATTTCTATTATTTGAGTCTGTATCTGTGTAGTTGACTAGGAAAAAGGCAAAATTCCTATGTCCTGATCCACATGTCGAAAGCCATGCTATGCAGATTTTCTGTGGGTGGGTGTAAGATTCTTCAAAATACTTCCATGCATTTGGCTTTCAGATGTAAAAAAGCATGAGATCCTAACACACCAGGATATTTAGGTGATAAGTATGGTAGGCTGTGTTTAATAGGATATATACCTGACATGCTGTACTATGGTTTCATGAAAACCCCTTGTTGTTGGAGTTGAAATAAGAACATAGAAAGAGCAAAGCACCTGAACTGCCTCTGAGCAATGACTGAATGGTAGTTGCAAGACAAGACCTTTGCGTTACCCTCACTGCCATAATGAGTAGTTATTCACATCAGTCAGTATCAGTACCATTATTTTGGGTTCTGTACAGAAAATGTCAATATATTCAACTTCATCTGCTTTTTAGAATTTTGATCTCAATCCATTTTTTCTGATGCTGTGATGACTTTTCCACCAGTTAGAATAATCAGTGCAGTAGAACACCTTAAACTTAGCAGAAATTATTTTTCAAGTTTGCTATTGAGAATCTGAGATCCTAGAAATGTTACTGTAGCCTGCAGGAACCCTAGAATTCTCCAGTAAAATTATTATTCCCATCTGGAAAACATGGGAATCAGTTGTTGTGTTACTGCTGTACTGATCATTAGGGATGAGTAAAAAAATTAAGTTCAGCCTTGTGGACTCCCTTGTGTCTCCTCTTCCACTCTCTGATAGGTACCCATGGTGAAGTAGAGCTCCCTGAATTCGCTGTCAAACTCAGGGAAGCTAACTTCAGGGAGCACAGGGCTGTAAACTTCAAGCTTCTGTTATTTTTTGTGACCTATAGAATCCTTGTTTTTCTCCTTTCTCAGGCCATAAGTGCTATTTGTCTTCCATAACATGTCTTTAATTGTATTTAAAAGTCAATATGTACAAAATTAATGCATTATTGTTTATGGTATGTTTAACAAAAGAGATAAAAGTAGTGGTTGTTTTCCCCCAAACTTAAGTAGCTTGAGCTTGCAGCTGCATAGCTATGAGCTTTATTTCAATGTGTAGAAGGTTTATCTTTTGTAGTTAAGCAATAAAAAAGGCTATCAATTAAAGAAAATGTTCTAAAAAATGAAATTTATAACCATGTCTTTCAAAACAGGTAAGAAGTATGAAAAAATTTACAGCAAATAGAGTTTAAAAAAAAATGCTCAGAGCCAAACCTAGCTGAATTGCAATGAAGCATAAAAGTATTGTGATTGAAATCATAAGACCTCAGAAATACTAAAAGATATATCTTCCTTTCAGTGTTATGGGGAAATTCTATTGTTGTCTTAAAACTGTATGTTTTAAGGGAATTTTTCTTATCAATATTTAATCTGAGATGTTCCTATGAACACGTATAATTTTCTTGAAGTCATCAAGAGCAGAAAAACCCTAACCAGAAACTGATCTTTGGAAGCACTCTGTTCCCAGGGAAATCTGATTCAGTAGTGTGCTTTTAATTAATGCACATTAATGGCTCTGTATGAAAAAATTTCTGTCGTAACACTGAACTACTGCTACGTTCTGAGCAATGGAAACTTACCCAGAAACTTTTTCATTGATGAATCTGTGTATTTGATTTTGTATCCCTGGAGAAAGCCCATACAGTCTTCAGCAGATATTTGAGACCACTTCACAAATGCAGAATGCTTTGTGATATTTAGAATTGTTATATTAGTGGGTCCTATCCTAGGAACTTAAAATTCAGAAAATAAGATCCGCATTAACATTAATGCTGTAGACATGACTGAAACCTAGCTGCTAGCTAGGGAGATGTTTACTTCATTCTAGTTGTCATAAGTACAATATAAAGGGTGGAAAACAAAAGAGGAATACATACAGTATTCCATACAGTAAAGCACTCAGATATTAAGCAATGCCCAAGAAGGTAATCTTCACTATCATTATCTCATCATTAACTCTATCATTAACTCATTACAAACACTTTTACTTCAGCAGTCAGAGTTGTATTAATTTCAATTTGTGATATAAGACATCATTGAATTTCTATTGGGAAATCTGACTTCAGTTACAGTTACATTTGAGCTACAAGGAGTAATAACTCAGGTGCCCCCTTTCTGTTATTTTTGTAGTGTCATGTGTAATAACAACATTTTAATGGATCTGTCACTAAGGAAAAGCATTCAGGTCATTCCTTGCCAGTGTATAACTTCTAGAACCAAAGGCAATGCTAACTATACGAGCATGTTAAGTCACCTGGAAAAGAAACGTGTTGGAATTTTTTTATTTTTTCTTTTTTTGCTGCAGATAGGAAATGAGAAGAAATATAAGGAACATAAATATATAAAAAAGAGGAGTACCTCCTTCAACTGAGTAAAAGTGGGTTACTCCGAAAGTCTTTTCATGTCCTCTGAAACTTTCACACTGACACACATCAGATGCATGCACCATGATTTTGTACAACTTATATGGATTAATATTGTCTGGAAAACAAACAGATGTATTTCAGTGTTTACATTCAGTTATCATTGAAAAGGAGGAGGAAGAGGAAGAGGGACAACAACCTTACAGTTTTTTTTGCATAGATCGTATAAATTCCTGTGCCTCAAAGCATAGCTTAAAGGTATAGTCCTTTACACTGAGCATAAAAGGTATGAATCCTTTCTCACTGACCTTCAGTACTTTACAGAAACTATTTCAAAAGCAGAACAAGGTGTAGCTCTGGTTTGTTTTTAAAAGATGCCATGTTTTCCCAAAATCCACCTCTGGGAAGCTTGAACTGCTGTACAAAAAGCAGTGAACAAAAATAAGTTTACACATCTTAGTTCAAATGAACAATGTTTCCCCCAGCCAGCATATTTAAAAACATGCAGAACAGTAGATGTAATGTGACAGCGCAGATATTGCAGGACTGAGGAAAACGCTGCACCTATTTACATAAATCTGAACTTAAGTGTTCTATACTATACATAAAAGACAGTTCAGAATGGTGTCTGCAAGAGTCACTTATGTGATTTCAATAGAGGTTTTGGATGACCGTTCTGTAAACTGATCTCCGCCAGCAACTCTTCATACCCAGATTTGTAGGTACAGGAGTTGAGAGTTTGTGCTTTGACAGCACAGCTGTGGGGACAAAAAATAATACAGGGGGAAGTATGCAGCAGAGAAGATTATATTTGAAATTAGGGACAAGAAATACTTTTATTTGTTCCTATGCCACTTTGTTAGCCAAAAAGTAGCATATAGGCCTGCCTGAATTTGGGAAAGGAGAGACCTCTTGCCAGCAACTGCAGTTTAGCTACATTTCTTGCCCAGATGTGACTAGAAGAATCTTGCTGAAGGATCTTTATTTTTCCTGCTTTGGTGTTTCTTAAAAGTAGATGTTATCTTATTGTTGGATAGGGTACGCTTAGCTGGATCCTTGGTTTGCTCTTAAAAACAGTATGAAAATCCTTCCCTCCCCAGCCAAAAATAACCAGTAAGTGAAATGGTGCCTGCATGAGATGTGGCTGTTGCTTTTACCTAACGTGAAATTTCCAGCAGCTGTAGCTACTATTTTCATGCGCATATCCTCTTTACTAGTGCCCCAGTCAACCACAAAACATTTTGGACTGTATTCTGGATTCCAGGTGACAACCGCATTAGTTCCGTGAGGCTTAACATTAATTTGGCCAGGCAAATCTGTAAACAAATATACCATTAGATATGAATGAACAAGAAAGCAGACTGTCCCTTCCCCATCAGTGTTTTTCTGTCTTTTTCTCTGATTCATCTGAAGATTCTTCATTAAGTAGTTATCATGTTGATGACCACACAGTAATACCTACTCTTTTATGTCATTAAAGGAAATTTAGCAACTAGCACTCTGCAGTAGACTCTGGGACCTCCAGTGTTAACTGCTGTTCAGGACCTTTAATTTCTTAAAGGGGAAATGGCTGTTCCATGCCTCAGGCAGGGGATGGCTAACACTGCTAAACAATCTCCCGTGAACTGCTATTAACTGCTATAGGCAGAACAACTGTGTGATCACTCTGACCTGGCAGAGGAGAAGGGGCTAATTACATTTTGTAGCTGTGTAATTTAGTGTCATTCTTGCAGAAAATGCAAAATTATTTAAAAATTCTGTTGTTTTTTGAGACAGATTATTAAACTAGAGAAGACTTCTTAACTGAAACTTACATAGAAGAAAAACACCCTATCATGCGGGGTAAGAACTGAATCTTATGACAGACAAATTTCTGTATTTCATTTATTCTGAAAACCATTGTAATAGAGTAGAATTAAAAAAAAAAAAAGTCTGTACATTTTCACAAGAGTTGTGCATGCTGAGAAGGAATTTGTCCTGGGAACAAACTTACTGTAATATTTTCCCAGTAATTCACCACAGGTATAGTGAGCCCGCCTGTATGTGAAACCAAATCTAAAACAGATGTCTGGAGAAAGCCATGAAAGACAGGCTGATATTTAATAAATATGTGGTTCTTAGATGAAGAATGTCTTGGAGAGATAGCATCACGTATTGTATTAGAAAAGAGCTAAAGCAATCAAATGCAAGCAGCAAAAATAAACTACTAGGAATTTGCAGGCAAAGGAGAACAGAATGAGAGGCGCGTTAGAAAATTCTGGAAAAGTCATTGTTTGCAGCTGTTTGATCCTTGCAGCATTTGTGAATGCTGTAGCTTGATTTAAAAAAAAAAACACAAAAGGCATTCCCAAGGAAAGTGAGAATCTTGTATTTAAGTTGCTGTAGCTCAAGATTATAATAAATAAAACTAGCTTATACTATAATAAGATCATTGTGTAATAGTCAAAAATCCTGTCGTTCCGGATATCAGAAAGCTTACATCTGCATTGGAATAGGATGTACACATCCTACCTATTCTTTCTTTCATGTACCAGCGGGGATAAATCTATGTCTTACCAGTTATTTAACTCCAAAAGCTTTCATTTGCACATAATTCTGACATCGTTGTTTAAAAGGCTGGAATCTTCTTAATTTTGAGTACACATCATAAGCCTTTCTAGATAGATCTAACATGTTGCTATTTCTCTAACTTGAGAAAACAAGAAGTGGTACAAGAAATGTTTAATTGCTTGGTCTGTTGGTTAATTTCCAGCAAAATCCTTTCTTAACAAATAATCAGAATCATAGAATCATAGAATGGTTTGGGTTGGAAGGGACCTTTAAGATCACCTAATTCCAAACCCCTGCTGTAGGCAGGGACACCTTCCTCTAGACCAGGTGGCTCGAAGTCCCATCCAGCCTGGCCTTGACTGCTTCCAGGGAGGGGGCATCCACAGCCTCACTGGGAAACCTGTTCCAGTGTTTCAGCACTGTTACAGGAAAGAATTCCTTCCTGATATTTAGTCTAAATCTACTCTCTTCTGGTTTAAAGCCATTTCCCCTCATCCTGTTGCAACATGCCCTGATAAAAAAGTCTCTCCCCAGCTTTTCTGTAGGCTCCCTTCAGACTGCCAAAAAGCTAGTCTAGAGATTGCTTATAAAACTTTTCCACCAGTCAGATCAATAAATGATAAGTACCTGTTGCAGAGAAATCTGGGACAGTGTAGATGGTTTGTGGAGATTGTCCAGCTTTGTTATAGGCAGAAATATGAATCCTATAGTAAGCCATAGAGATATTTAGAAGAACCTTTCTGTCCTTTAGAATGATGCGATTTGGTGAATCCCAGCAACTGTTGGGTATTCTTTCAACATCAATGTAGTATCCAATGGCGTTCTCACTTTGCATTACCTAAAAGAATAAAAAGATTATTATTGTATAAATGTTATTATGTCCTGTGTTGAAAATTAAGAGCAATGGAATTATAGAAACAAAATATCATTTTTAATATTGGGGATAATATCATACTATTTCAATTAGACTATCAGGAATCAGTGAAGCAGACCATTTTCTTAATATTAAAAGCATTCTTAAATTGAAAGGATTTAAACACAGGATTAGAGGTTTTGCTTAATTGGAATGTTAGTAATGTGTATCCAATTAGTAATAGCAGCACTGAAGAAGCAGCAATGTTCTTTACACTTCATTGGAACATATATCCATCATAATTAGAAGCTTGAAAGTTAATGAGAGGTGTTCAATTGCAATTTATGCCTCAGGGAATGTTCATCTACTAGGCTGTTAATCGTCTGGTCTCTTTGAGCATAAATGCTGGTAATGAACTTTGAAACGTATATTCATTGATAGAAATTTTAGGTGGTGATTCAGCCATTATTTTATTGTGTTAATCTTCATGAGAGATGAGAAAATTAGTGCACGAAAATGGAAATTACTACAATTTAGTTAGAAATAGATATAAAAACATAAAGACTGGGGATTCTCCGATACTTGATATCAAGGGTGGTTATTATTTCTTGGTCACCTTGGCGCAGAATTAATAGTGTAAAGCTAACACAAAATTAGGAGGGTTTCTTAATGAAATAATTGGATAATTTCAGAGTAACATAGAGAGGATGACATCTAGTAAACTATACTACTAATACTGCTAATGCTGGAAGCTCTTAAAATGGAAACAACAGAAGTTTTTCTCAAGATACTGAAGAAAGAATTGATCCCACTGTTTGAAGCTCTGATGAAGCTTCTGGGGGAATAATGTCCTCTAATCAGATTAGTGTCCCCTAATCCTCTAATCGTTGCTCACCAATGCGGAGGAGATCATTAAAGGTGTTAAGGATGGAGGCAGCCTGGGCTGCAGGGACCATTCCCTGGTTGAATTCGTGATTTTGAGCAATGTGGGTCTGGTGAAGAGTGGGGTCAGAACCCTGAACTTTGGAAGAGTGAACTTTAAGCTGTTGAAAGAATTGTTGGCCAATTGTTGGGATGCTGTCCTTAAAGACAAAGATATTGACGAGAGCTGGTTACTCTTCAGGGATACCTTCCTGAGAGCACAAGAACTCTCCATCCCTCTGAATAAGAAACCAGGCAAAGGAGATAGGAAATGGGCATGGCTCAGCAAGGACCTGCTGGGCATACTGAGGGCAAAGAAAGGTGCGTACAAGCTCTGGAAACAAGGGTGTGTCACCTGAGAAGAATACAGGGATGCCGTCCATACTTGCAGATGTGGGGTCAGGAAAGCCAAGGTGCAGGCAGAACTGAACTTGGCAAGGGGCGTGAAAAACAATAGGAAGACATTCTACAGGTACATTAGCCAGAAGAGATCAAAGGCCAAAGCAAGTGTACCTCTTCTGGTAAATGTAAAAGAACTGGCTTCAACAGATGAAGAGAAGGCTGAGGTACTGAATGAGCTCTTTGCCTCACTCTATACTGGCAGCCAGGATTCTAATATTTCTCATGTTCCTGAGCCCTACATCCCTAAACCTCTAGGTGGGGACTGGGGCGGCAAATCTCCCCCCTCACTGTAAGGACAGAGCAAGTCCGAGACCACCTCATGAGACTGAATGTGTACAGGGCTATGGGGCTGGATGGTGTGCATCCCAGGGTTCTGAAGGAGCTGGCTGAGGTTGTTGCTGAGCCGCTCTCCATCATATTTGAAAAGTCGTGGCTGTCAGGTGAGGCCCCAGATGACTGGAGGAAGGGTCACATCACTCCCATTTATAAGAAAGGGAGCAAGGAGAACCTGTGGAACTACAGGCTGGTGAGTTTCACCTGTGTACCTAGGAAGATCATGGAACAGATCCTTCTGCATGTCATGCTTGATGACATGAGGAATGAGAGTGTGATCCTAGACAGCCAGCACAGCTTCACCAGGGGAAGGCCATGCTTAACCAATCTGGTGGCTTCTATGATGGAGTGAAGGCATTGGTGGACAAAGGGAAGGTGGTCAATATCATTTAACTGGATTTGAGCAAGGCCTTTGACACCATCCCCCATCACATCCTTATCTCCAAATTGGAGGGATGTAGATTTGATGGGTGGATCACTTGATGGATAAGGAATTGGTTGGAAGGCTGCAGACAAAGAGTGGTGATTAATAGTTTTATGTCCAGGCGGAGGCTGGTAACAAGCAGTGTTCCCAGAGGTCTGTCTTGGGATTGGTGCTCTTTGACATCTTTATCAGTGATACTGATAAAGTAATCAAGTGCGCTGTCAGCGAGTTTGCTGATGACACCAAGCTGAGTGGTGGGGTTGACACAGTAGAAGGAAGGGATGCCATTCAGAGGAACATCAACAGACTTGAAAGGTGGCCCAGATGAACCTGATGAAGTTCAACACAACAAAGTGCAAGGTTTTGCACTTGGACTGGAGGAAGCCAAGGCATTTATACAGACTGGAAGGAGCAGTCCTTGAGAGCAGCCCTGCAGAGAAGGACCTGGGGGTCCTGATGGATGAAAAGCTTAACATGAGCCAGCAGTGTGCTCTTGCAGCTCAGAAAACAAATGGTATCCTGGGCTCCATCAGAAGAGGGGTGGTCAGCAGGGACAGGCGGGAGATAATTGTGCCTCTCTACTCTGCTCTTGTGAGGCCCCATCTGCAGCACTGTGTTCAGGTCTGGAGCCCCCAGTATAAGAGAGACAGAGGGTTGTTGGAGTGGGTCCAGAGGAGAGCCATGAAGATGATCAGGGGACTGGAGCACCTTCCCTACAAAGACAGGCTGAGGGAGCTGGGCTTGTTCAGCCTGGAGAAAAGAAGGATGCGGGGTGACCTCATTGCAGCCTTTCAGTACCTAAGGGAGCCTATAAACAGAATGGGAGTCAACACTTTTCAAGGGTAGATAATGGCAGGACAAGGGGAAATGGTTTTAACTTGAGAAAGGGAAGATTTAGGTTGGATGTCAGGGGGAAATTCTTTACAGAAAGTGGTGAGGTGCTGGAACAGGCTGCCCAGAGAGGTTGTGGATGCCCCGTGCCTGGAGGTGTTCAAGGCCAGATTGGATGGGGCCCTGGGCAGCCTGGCCTACTATTAAATGGGGAATTTGGAGGCCCTGCCATGGCAACGGGTTTGGAGATTCATGATCCTTGAGGAACCTTCCAACCTGGGCCATTCTGTGATTCTCTGACTATGATCAGACTTTGAAAATGGAAAATGTGTGTATGCAGGAAAAATTATTCCTAGGATATGCAACGCATGACAAAAACCAACAGAACTTAGACTGAGAAGGAAAAGCACTGTGTATCTTGTGCAGTCCTGCAGGAGATCTCATATTATTTCTATAGAAATAGTACGCACTTCCAAGTTGGACCTTAACGTCCAGCGAGCTGAAATCACCTTTTCTGTGCCTTTTCATCCAACTTATGTAAAGCTTACACACTGAATATGAAAAAAAATCAGAGGAACTACAGGTAGACTGTGACATTTAAAAAAAATTTTTTTAATGTTTGTTTGAGATTGGCTTAAACAAGTTTGTCAGGTGAGCCTCCCTTCTCCCGCTACCTCTTTTTTTCCTTTTCACTTTAACATGTTAATTACTGCATATACTCCTTCCTCAATCCTTTGAAGGTGTACTTGAACCTTATTTAGTATACTAGTTCAGTACAAGAGTTATCCTGAAAGAAGCTCCTAGCCTTGATCCTGTATTTAATGTAGATATTTTTAAATTAAAATTCATCAGTAGAGACCGTTGTCTTCTCTTAACATTGGAATTGCCAAGTACAATTTACTTTATCATAAAGTGAATCATTTACTTTGCAGCTTTTCCTTCTTCTAAGGAGATAAAGGAAAAGAAGGGATATCTCATCCTAACCAAAGGAGGAAATTATTTTCTCTGCTGTCTTTTTTTTCCCCTTAACAGAAACAGAAAGGAGTCATTACAAAACTTCCCATATTTTTTTGATATTTAAAAACTCTGCCAACCTCTGTCTTCAGAGACAGACACAGACTCTGCTTCAGACATTTCCTATGGTAAGTTTCTGAGAATTCGTAGATGTTCATTCTCTCAGCATCTGGACAGAGTGAGCTTCCAACTAAAAAACAACAGTAAGACCTTGCTTGTGGACCCGTGGGCCCTTTAAGTGGGAATTCCAGACTGTCAGCTATCCTTTTCTTATCAAGAGAACTTGAGCTAGTAAGAGTGACTGATGAGCACAGTCAGTCAGCTGATAATGACACCTGTTACAGAAAAGGGGAAGCCTATGATTTATAGAGTGAATTTTAAATATGGTTGTGGGATATGTTCAGCTAGATGTTGTTTTGGTATGCTCCTTTTCTCTCATTATAATGTATTTGCACTTCTGAATATTTAAATCAGTAGTCTTAAAAGATGCTTTTCTAAAAACTTTTTATCTCTCTTGAGAATAATAATGCTTCTTAGGAACATGTCTAACAGAAGATATGTCACTTGTGTATGGCTTATAAAGTTTTTTCAAGGAAAATTAATTTCATAGTTAACCTGAGATTCACCAGTGTTTACTGCTAATTGGAAAGAATCTTTATTCTACTCAGTGATTTGAGCCTGGAGGTTTCTATAAATGTAAGTAGTTTATAAATTATTGTGCCTTTTCCTTGCTAATTTCTGGAACCTGATTTACCACCATACAAATGCAGTGAATCCTAGAGCACAAGTTCAGTATTCAATACTTTTTTCTTGTACACTGTAGTCCTCATACAATGAGAAAGTCTATTCTTCCCCTATAAAGTAATGAATTAATGGTATGGTTATAACATAATGAGAGAAAATTACCTCCCACTTAAGAAGAACACTTCTTCTGCCTGATGATATTTCTGTAGTTGCATTATATGATATTCTTGGCTTGTTCATGAGCTCTGGTAAACATGGGAAAAGATAGAGATGCGCACTCACAGAAATCAGGTTGGTCTTAATGTTTTCAACAGTATTTGACAATGTTCATACATTATAAAATTGGAAAAGGGTTTTTCCACTTATGCTTGTTCCCAGGAAATTAACTTACTGTGAGGGACCAAAATCTCTTTACTCCAAATGCAAACACAATGAAGACCATCCTTGGTTATACATCTGAGCTGAATGATATATGAAGATGTAGCATTTGAAACAGTGATGTTAACAGCATTGGTTTCTATGGGCACCTAAAAGCAAATGATGTTTGCGATAAGACAATCTTATATTAATGTTTTTCTCAATCAAAAAACAAAAGTTCTGACCAAAAGTAGCAGTTGCCATCATCAATGAAGAATTACTGTATATATTAGTAATTTTTATTTGATACTTGAAAGATGATACTCCCTTTTTCAACTAATTATGTTGTATCAGGACATGTAAGCAGTAGTGCAGGTTAACCCCCTCTTAAAAATGGATTCCATGTTACATACATTGAAAAATTATCACTTATTTGACTTTGGTCTTTACTGGCATTCTGAAGAACAGTATTACAGCAACCTGGTCTCTAATGATAATAGTAAAGAAAGTAATATAGTCTTTTAATTAAAGTGTAATTAGATCTGGCTATCATTTCTGATACCCTTTCTAGATCTTCAGCTTTTCCTCGGTTGGTATGTCTTGTTGACAAGTTAATGAACCATATGACATAGTGATATTGGTTTTCTTTTTTTTCAGCATAAAACTACTAATTTTTCTCTTTCAAACAGTTCAGAATCTATTGGCAGGTAACTAAGAGAATACTGTGAGATTTGCCAGCAAGTCAGGCGCTGTGTTCTCTTGCTATCCATGATTTTGTGTGCTACAACAATGTCCTGTTTGTATCCTGCCATGTAGCTGTATGTGCTATGTACTACCGAGCTGAAAATGAACCTCCTCATGTTCTCAAGAGGCATATGGAAATACTTACCTTTGTCCACTGAGTGGCTTCTGTCAGTGCCTCTCTGTATCTCAACTCATATTCTGTAGGAGTTGTAGGTAAGTTCCATTTTATGACCAATTGCTTTGTGATCTGATGAGCTTTTATGTTAGATGGTGTCAAACACTTCCCTGCAATTGGGAACAGATGACATCAGTACAGGGGAAGCAGGAAAGCTTTGGATATTATGTGTCAATTGGGTGTGTTTTACCAAAAATGGAGGAGTTGGCTGAGAACATCAAACAGTATGAGACTTAGAAAAATTGGAAATAAGTATTTACTAAATCTTTATAGTATCAACAAATTTGGGTTTGTGTGTGTAATTCTTTTGTGAACGCTACTTCTGATATCAGTAAAATCCTTTCTTTAAACAGGTGCTCAGTGAGTCTGAAAGGCAAAATCAAAACATCGGGAGTACTTCTAATTGTGAACTGTAGAAAAGCTTCCAATTTCAGCAACTGTGTTTATCTATGTAATTTTTAATCCAAATGGACAGTTTTCCCTCTGAAAATCTCCCAAGGAGTCATAGTGGTAATTTGGGTTTTACTGATAGTGCCTTTCAGCAATGAGAAGCACTTTTGAAACTTAATTAAAATTAAAAAAATTGTTACTCTGGGAAGTTTAGGATTTCAGAATATCTTGATGTTAACTCAGTTGAGAATCTGTGAATAGGCATCTGCAGTGCATTGCTCATAGGATTAATTTTTTTCACATGCCCCTTGTAGTACTGTGTAATAGGTAACTGGCCTTAAAAAATAGCTGAAATTTGAAGTTTTCCCAAAATGTGAATTGTCTGTAGAAAAAATTCCTTGAATGTATGATACGGTGTCAGCCTGTTCTTTGTAAATATGTGACTCCTCACATTTCAGTGGAGAGTTATTAAGGTTAGGGTACTATGGTTAGGTTACGGTTGGACTTACTGATGATGAATATCTTTTCCAATCTGAGCAATTCTATGATTCTATGATAAAGAAGTTACAAAAACCATCAGAAATAGAGGAAGCTGGTGAAGTATGGTATGCAAATGTCACTATATAGTTTTTTTGGGTATAGTATTTTATAGTTCAGCAAAAAAAATCAGATTTAAAGTCCTGATATCATAAAAATGGATGGACTTCCACTATGGACTTCAATAAAGATTTCATAAAGAAGCCAGTAAGGAAGGCCAAACTGCAGTGCTCTGAATCAGTGAAAAGGATAAGTGTATGGCAGGAGATAGCATTTTGAAAATAATTTTGAAGAAAATCATACCATTGCTTCAGCAGGACACTGCAGTAATACAGATCATGAAGATATAATACCTGCTTTTCTCGGTGTAACTGAGATGTTCTTTCCTTTCACACAGCTGGCATGAGCATAGTTCACTGCTATCCAGATAGATGCAGAACGGTTCATGAAGAGATTTTTTCGTTCTATTGTGATGGAAGGTGATGAAGTGTTTCTTCTAAAAAGCTTTGTGATTCTCTCCCTTCAGAGAAGAGGAATAAGAATGAAAGCCAAACTTTTTGCTGGTTTATCATACACTTTTTTTCCTCATAAGCATCATTATAACAACTCCTAGCTTTCCAGGTACTCATAAACAAAGTCATCATTTTGAAAACTTGAAAGTGAGGACTGAGCAGCTTGAAACAGCAAATGTAATTCCAGTATCCTAGCAATCCTAGCTTAACCTTGCAAATACATGCTGTGTACTGGAGAACTGCTAAATTCTTTACATTTATGAGGCACAGTGTGATAAAAGACAAAGATCTGTATAGTTTTCTTTAAGATTAAAATGGGACATAAACAGCTTTTAGAAGGTACTGTTAGATGTGTGAGAGTTGAAGCTGTCATGGTAAAAGTAAGTCAATAGGGCAGGTCTACCATCTAAAGAGTATATTTGCAAGATAAAAAGTGCCTTCAACTGATGCGACTGTACAGTAAAGCTTTTATATAAAAGTGATTTTCATAATTGCTATATGCTTCAGGCTGGATAATGGAAACATACGTTGTACAACCTTGATTCTCAATCAGGCCAACAGCTGGCCAAGTTTGTATTATAAATTAAAAAAAATTCAGTGGCCATAACGTGTATTGACTGTCCAGAAGTTCTTGGAGCCATTTAGGCAGTTTGTTTTGCTACGTCTCAAGCCATTTAACGCAGACAGGATTCCACAGTTCACTGACTCTCAAAATAGCTGAAGTTGGACTGGATGTATGGAAATCATCTCATCCAATGCCATTGCTCAAAGCAGTTAACAGCAGGAAGAAGAGCAAGTGCAGGAGGCAGTCAGTGTACACTGTCCCAGAATTCCCTTTTAAGAGGCAACCTTCTGAAAGCCAGTTGAAGTTTTAGCCTTTTCCTTTGATCTGTAGTGAAAGCTTAAGTTCTGCAAGGTGTTCTTCATGTAAGCAGTTGCTGCAGAAATGTGGTCCTGAGTATGTAGGATTTGGGAGTATATGTGAATGCAAAGAATGTGCAAAGAAAAGCAGGACTTAGGGAAATAAGATTTAACTTTTGTGTGTGTGTGTTTTCTCACACTCAGTTTTCAGGCATTAAATGGAAGACTGTTCTTGTTCTGTTTGGACATCCCCCCAGATCCTGCTCTGCCATTTGCTCTCTGATGCATACAAAACATATTTTCCAAGGCTAAAGCTGTTCTAATTTAATATTCTTAAAAAGAAGTGGATAAGCATACTAATTACATACCTAGATACTTCAAGTATTAAATGTGCTGATCATGATAGAATATTTTATAATAGAACAAAACTCCTGGAAGCTTCCCTTGTCTTTTGCTTCAGATTAGTTGTGAATCGGCCATTAATATTTCAAACTATGATTTTGAATGCTTGATTTGAACATCTCTGTGGGAGTGTTATTCTTTAATACTTTTCTTTCTGACAATTAAATTGTAAAGTGCAAAGAAAAGAAAAAATTTCAGTGCTAGTCTAACATTGCTTGCAGGTGGAGTGATGTCATCTTCTAGGCAAGCAGGAAAAAAATCCTTTGAATGCTTATTGTTTTCCTTCCAAAGCAATAAAAAGGGAGAAGAAAGTTTTTCTTTAGGATTATCAGGCTGAAGCCTAGGAGGCTGAGATTCAAATTCTGACTCTAGATTGGGAAAACTTGTATCTCTGTGAGACAATTGCATCTCTCCTATCCTACCATCTCTTTCCCTTTTTACTGCCTTTTCTGTTCATAGCATCAACTCTGCAATTTACCAATAACACACTCTGATTTTGACTGGACATACAAAGAGCAACTACGTTACAAATACTCTTGCCTTTAATCTCATGGCAAATCCAAAATACAAAGAGGTAAAGTGAGGAAAATCTCTTTCGTAATGAAGATACGGAGGCAGCAACATTAACAGTCCAGTGGGCAGATGTTGATTTAATCTTCACATCTGCATTTTACCTCATTTCTTTGCTTTAGCTCTCTTTAAAAAATGAAGCAACTGAAGATAAACGTATTTTGTTATTAACCTCTACAATTTAATTTCACCTATTAAACTCGCTAATTTGCAACTGCAGTAAGATACTTCAGAATCTATTTTATTTTCTTTAATGTAGCATATCCAGCATTTCATTGGTTATCTGGTTTAACATAATAATATTGCATAATGAAACTCAATCTTTGAAACTTAGAATGCATTAGTGTTGAATATTTGCTGCAAGTCACTAGACAAAAGTAATTAATTAAATGGTCTTTGGAAATAAAGTTTCAAACAGAGATTTTTGGTGCATGGAAAGGTGACTAATGACTAGCAAATTGCAGAAAGAAGAAGTTATTTATTGGATAAAACATTGTTTATTGGGTGGAGGGAGGTATCTGTGGTATCATTTCCATGTTCTCAGTGGATAGTGAAGACAATTAGTGGTTGGAAGAGCTAATGTCACATCTCTGAAATATGGTTACTAAGCTACATGTTTGTTCTGTTATCTTTTCCTTAAAACTGGGAGGGAAGGTGGAGGTTCTAGCTTGCTCAGCATTTAATGAATCAGTGGAAAAGATGGGTAAGTACAGTTGCTACAACTGAGGTCCTCTCAGTCCAATCCTGAATAGTTTTCTGGGCACTCCTCAAGAAATTAGAAAATGGTACATCACTGTTCTTCAGTTTAGACAAATGGTTGTTGACTCTATGCACCTATTTCAAACTTTTCTGTAGATCTGTTCAAGCACAAATTCCAGCTGTTTCTGCATTGATTATAAAGCAAACAGAAGTGTCTGCTTAGTATCATGTGTGCTGCCAGTGTCACTCTCCCTGCAGTTTGAAATGTGCAGCTCTTATTAAGTCAGTAAGAATTGAAATTGAAAGGCTTGATCAGTATTGTGTAACAACCTACAATGTGATTAAATATGTACGAAAAAAATTTAAGCAGGTAGGAATGACCAGACAGCAATGATAACTATTCATTTTCTAAAGTGACTTTTAGACTTACCATTTTAAAAATAAGGTGTAATTAATACTATTTGGAGCACTGGGTGCCGGCAGCCAGGTACAGGTTAGATCCTCACTTAGTTCTTTATAACAGGCCAATTCATTGTCCCAATCTGTAAGATGAAATATATGGACTGGAAAAGACCCATCACCAACAACTGTTTACAATCAATAGGGGCAATATAACTAGCAGAATCAAAAGAGAAAAAATACAAAACAAGCTGTATTCTTTGTAAAATGAAATAAGTAGCTGCTGTATGAGCCTTATGTCATGTTTGTTCTCAAGGTAAGCAGCTCACTAACATTTAAACAAGAAACATTTAGAGAATTTAAACATGATCAGTCATGTTTCCAAATAAAGCAGTTTTCTTATGTGACTATAGAAAAAGGACCATTCTCCCTATGTTTTATGTTTCCTTTAAGAGCTATTCTGCACCAAACAACACAGTATGAAAACACTTGCTTTCCTGCAGCTGTGTTGTGACACATTTGAGCAGCACTGAGCAGTGAGTGTGAGCAGTGACAGTTTTGCTTCCTGCTTGCCACTGCTCTTCTTTAGAGCTTGAACTGTTTTTCTTTTAATTTGGTTGAAGTACCTTCATACCATGGAAAGCACTACTACGTTCCCTGGGACAAAATAATTTCATGAATACAAGGAAGCATTTATATTTTTTTATCATCTGTTTGGGTTACTTTGGGTAAAGTTCTTGCAAAATAATATGACGAAATTGCTGTGAACCTTCTACCCTAGCATACCTTTGGTTTTTGACTCCCAACTCTCTTTTCTGTGGTTTCGCACTTTCCGTCTCTGTCAGACAGTGTCTGTTGTGCCCTCAGTGTCTCTGCTGATGTGACAGACTGGGAACAGGAACTGTGTGGCACCACTCAGCTGTTTGCTGGAACATATATAAGACAGTGCCTCCTGGGAGGTTGCTCCAGATCTTCAGAGCAACCCATGTTCACCGGGGAGTTACTATGCTTGAGAACCTTGCAGAACGAGGAGCAACTGTCCTGTGTGGGGAGAGACCCTCTTTGTTGGAAAGATTGCAAACTGGATGTGACAACAGCTTTGTCAGTAGCAACTTACTGACTGTTAAACATGAGTCTGTAGATATTTTGGAAAGTGTAGGCCGAAACGGAGGGTCTTCTAGACCTCACACACACCTTAGAAATTAATTCCATGCAATAATTTATTTCTTAATCAATTAATTTTAAGAGTGGATGAAAACAAAAAAGAGAGAGGGCTGGCATTTTGATGATCAATACCAAGGACAAATGTGATATTTCTACAGTTTCCAACCTGTAAGATTTACTGGGGAATTTCTTGCAGGTCATTACACCAGTGTAGCTAGGACTATTTTTCAGGAATGGATTGACCAGATTCCAGAATTAGTTCAAAATCATCAATCACCTCTTTGTGGAGTTCATAGTCTGCTGTATGCTCCCAGACTCACAAAGATTGCGTTACAAAGCAGGAGCATGAATTTTCAAACAGAATGACTTGTGCTTAATTTTTGGTAAAAGGTTTTGTGGTTTTTTTTGTTTCATTTTGTTTTTGCAATTGAACATATATGTGTGGTTCAGACAAGGGGTAGTTAAACATTGATGATGTTCTTAAAGGATGTATTAATCTGTAGTGGTTAAACATACTTTAATATTTCAGAAATCTCTTATCAGAAAACTTAGTCATAAAATCCGACTGTCCTCCTTTTGCTTTGTGTTTTATTGTCTGAAGAGTCAGCCAAAATATCACCCACATTTTTAAAAAGAGGTGCAGAAAGAAAATGCAGGTGTTTTTTTGTTTGTTTGTTTAGTTGTGTCTTTTCCTTCTCCTTCTCCTTCTCCTTCTCCTTCTCCTTCTCCTTCTCCTTCTCCTTCTCCTTCTCCTTCTCCTTCTCCTTC